TGATAACCTGAATATTTTTTTCATGTCAATCATCACAATACGGGTTGACACATCGATATAGCGATAATAAACTAATGATAACAAACGGGTGAAAAAAAATTGAGAACGACGACCACCCGGATACATAATAAAGAAATGATTTCACATGATAATGGTTGGCCCCATCATATTTCATTTGATATCATTCAACCATGCAAAAAGAATAACGATATCTATTTAATGTTTAAAATGACCAATTTAACCTAAAGTAAATTCAGACTTTTCAAATCTTCAGATTATAAAATTTAATTCAATTTTGATTATTTAAATCTTCTTAGATTTTAATTTCAATTTAACAGGATTTTTATGCAAAAATCTATTTCATCCGATCAAATGATCTATGTTGATGTTGTTTGCTTCATTTTTTTCATTCATTAAAAATTCGTTTTTTTCTAATTCTCATCTTGATTAGAGAATATAAAGATACCTAAAAAAATGATACAATAATGTGCAAATGTTAATGATTAACTTGGTTATAGATTTAATTTTTGATTAAGTAAAGTTTGAAACTCAATTTTAAAATATCTTTTTATCTGTTGGTAGTGATAAAATCAACCGCGGGTCAATGTATCAATCTGAAATTTTTCTGTGTTTTTTCGTATCATAAGATCGATAAATTTTCTCTCTCCCTCCCGTTTTGCGATTTTACGGCAATCGTTTCATCTAGATGATAATGATGATGCTAAATATAAAACGAGAAAAAGTAACCATGATAAATATCGTAACAAAAAAAAACTTGAAATTATATACGACAAACTTGTTGCCTTTTAGAACTTTTATAATCAATATCACAATATTGATAGATTAGTTTGTCTGTTATGCTTGTGAAAAAAAAAATTTCAAATCCAAGATAAACCATCCAGGCTATTTTTTCTAAAAACTGTAAATAAAGTTTTTTCTTTTTTTTTCGTAAATTCAATTGGGTTGGTTGTTAGGTTTGGTTAGTTGTTTAAGTCGATTTCTAATTTATATTTCGGTTAATGATGTTGATGAACAGTTTGAAATTAAATTACGAATGATGATGAGAGAAAAAACGAAAGATTGAGAGAAAGAGAGAGAAAGATGTTTAAGGTCAAGTAATCGGGGAGAAATAAACCGAAAATAACCGGCAAAATCAAATTTCTTTATAGCCATCAGGTCCTTATCATTGCCAATCAAATCTGCATCGTAGTTAGTTTTTGAAAGTGTTATATAATAGTATAGATTTTTTTTCTTTCTTCATCTGAACTTGCTTACTCAATCCTCAAATGATGATAAACCTGAATTCGAAAAAAACAGTTCAATCAGATTTATCCATATTTAAAAAACTATCTAAGCATCAATAACCAAAATTTATAGAATTAATTTGAAACACTCACTTAGTTGGCCGGGAGCCCAATTTAGATTTTGTGGTCATAAATGATAAATTTGATAATATAATCCATTTGTTCATGTGTGTTTTTTTTTGAATAATTTGCAATTCAATTGATCAAATTTTGTTCCAAAAAAAGGGGGAAAACCACCAGTATAGTGTGGGTCAAATTTTCGATTAAAATATGACCAATTTTCATGTATTCATCATTATCGTTTGTATTCCATATTTATAAATTCAATTCATTCATTATCATCATCATCATCATGTAATTGTGATTCAACCTATTTGACTTTTGAAAAAAAAATTTTACAAATTGAAATTGTCCGACCATCATCATAGTTTTTTCTTTGGTAAAATAATCCTGGTTTGTAATGAATAAATAGATAGAATGATGATTGAATGAATGTTTGGATGGATGCTCACATCAATGCTTGATTTTTTTTTGTTGGACAAACTTGAAATTCATGTACCTTTTCTGTTTGCATTGAATATATTTTCTTTTTTCTTTTTTTGTTGTTGTCCAGTTGTAGTAGTCGTTCATCATCATTTTATTATCATGTTCGTTCTTCTTTTTTTTTGACACCATATGATGATGATCGATACGAATGTCCGATTTGATTGGGTCAAATATTTTTATTTTATTTTTTTAATCAGCCATTTTATTCTTAATATTTTTTTCATTCATAACATGATTATCTTTTAAATCGATCTTTTTTACTGGATTTCCATATTCTTCGTTGAAATCCGATTTTATTATGTTTTTTTTTTTGAATCCAAATCCAAACACCTTTATAACTCATGATGATGATGATGATGATCTATGAGCTTAACATGTCAATAATTTGATAAGTGCGTGTCCAAATAAATAATGTTTCTTTGGCTATTATTTTGTATGGCATGATTTTTTTCTTTCTTTCTTTGAATTTAATGAATAATAATGAAGAACATTTGTTGCTCAACAACAAGTGATTGGCTATCTATCGCTAGGAATTTATCTGTCGTTTTTTTCTTAGTCAGTTTGGCCATATAGCTAAATCAACTAGATAATATTTAGTTGCTTCAGTGTCGAATAATAATGATCATCATAGATCGCGTTCGTTCACTATCTAGTTCATTATTATTGGCGACTTTTTAAGCTAAAATGGTGAAAAATTTTGTTTTTTCGTTTCATTGGAAAATTTTTTCAGATTTTTTGTTTCATGTTTCTTCCTAGCCTAAAGGCCAATCTACCTATGGCTTCTTTTTATTCATTTATTTGTGTGTGTGCAAGTGTGTCCATATATCTTATGCATACTTGCATTTGACTTGAAAATTCTTAACCAAATGATCGATTCGTTTTGGATGAAAAGAAAAACAAGAGAGTACCATCATTTTTTTCAAACGAAAAAATGATTCAAACGAGGTTGGCCAGCTTTTTCTCTTTTTTTCATTCATCTATCCTAAAAGATAAATAGATAGACCGACCTCTAACGTTTGACTATTCGAAACATCATTGGAATCCGGTCGGTCGTTTAACTTTAATACATGTCGATATTTGTTCATCTTTTAATATTCATCATCGTCATCGTAGACAGGATACAGGACAGGTGAACTCATCATTATTGGTAGTGGAAATTTTTTTTTTTGATTAACTTTAATAATGATGATGATGGTGGTGGTAGTAGTTATGATTCAAGGGTCCTCAATCAAAAGAAGTCAACATTGAATTAAAGTGATGATAATATATAAGAAAAGTATGTAAGATGATGTTGATCATCAGCACCTGGATTATCAGGATTTCCATCTTTCTATCGTTTTTGAAGTAAAAACCGGCTTTCTTAAAAAAAGAAACCCGAAGATTTACTTGTCATATTGCTTCCAGTTTTTCACTTTTTTACCTTGTCTTTAATTTGAAGGTTTTTATTTTTCCCCCTAAAAATTCATTGATTGGCAACCGAGACAACAGCGACCACCATCTACTTTACCACCACCAATAATAATGTAGGTAAAGTTGGTTTATTCAGTGAATTCTTTTCTCTCTCTTTCTCTAGCCGTATCTCAGGCAACCAATTTTTTTTGAATTTTTTTTTCGTTCGTGAAACTGAACTGTCTTGTCATTCATATTTTTTCTATGTATGGACCAATGCTATTCCCTAATGTGTGTTCTGAATTTTTTTCTATGGAAATCAAATGTTGCTTTGCGATGATGATACAGGTGGCCATGTTGATAATCATGATTGTGTGGTTGTGTAGTAGCAGTTCTACTAATAGTGGATCCATCAAGTCTATGATCACTTGTTGTTGTTGATATTTTTTCCGAAGAAATTGAAGAATAAAACTTGAACAGGTAATTTCAGAGAAGACGACCAGACCTATGTTGTGCAACATACATAGAAATTATTATAGCGAAATAAATATTTTGCTGTAATCGAGGAATGAAAGAGATTGGATTTTTTTCACTATGCTTCTATGAATTTTTCTCAAATATCTTGTTTGTTTGTTTCTTGGATATTTTTATTTTTCGTTTGTTTGTTTCTTCGAATGAAGTTTTTGCCTATATAATTTTTGTTGTTACTGTTGATACGTTTCATTATAATTTTTTTTTTGTTCATCATTGAAAATATTAAAAGAGTAACTGGACTCGTCATTATTAATGAATGAATGGCGGACATCATCACCATCATCATCATATAAGATCTGACTTCGGTTTTTCTTCTTTTTTTGCAATATATCCATCATTTTCAAATATATTATTTTTTCCCTTATTTCTTTCGACCCATTCTCTTTTTTCGAATCTAAACATCATTCTCCGCTGCCGAATCTATGAAAATTTCTCTTTATTTCTCTATTTTTTTTTGCCTGTGTTCCAGAAAAAAATCGTAAGCATCTTCGTGTATGTGTGTGTGTTTAGCTGATTGGAGTAAATTTTTTTGTTTTGTTTTTGTGTTGTTGATGTTAAATCCTGTTATCCTGCAATGTTAGTGTGTTGGCAAGCTAAATCTTAGGTTTATTAAAACACTATTTAGTTGAAATACACGAAAATTACTTGTTCTTGTTTTATTGATAAAATTTCTTTCGATCTTGATCCACAATAATAACAAGACGACGACAACAATATCAAAATAAGATAAATCTAATGTCACATTCAATCCGATCCATTTTGGATTCGGATTTTCAATCAATCGATTACATATCCTGATCCTGTTCATGTCATCAAAATGGAATTTGATCCTTGTACGAAATGACGATCCTACGATGATAATAATGATGACAATACTGACGACCATAGATATCGAAAATCAAAAATCTCATCGAAAAAAAATTTTCTTCATTCAAATTTTGAATAAGTCATCCTGATCATCATCATCATCATCATCATCATCAAATCGAATCAAATTTTATGTATGTCTGTGTGTATGTTTTGTGTCTAACGTAATGTCTGTGTGCATTATCTAAGGACAATCAACATAACAGTGATTGAATTCTTCTCATTCAATTTATGAAATTGTCATAGTTGATATTGTGACTGTTGAGAAATTTTATACTGCTTTGTTTTTCATTCTTCAAGCATCTGTTCATCAATTTTTTTCAATATTCATCGTGTCTATGTATTTGGTTGTTTTATTTTTCGGCACGAAATAACATCTTGCATCTGGTTTGACAACGACATTTTTTCGTTTATTTTTTCTCATCTTGCTTGTGTGTATGTGTATGGTGTATTTTGTGTACTCTACCTGTCTGTTGATTGACAGCCATATTTAGAATCATCATCCTTTTCAAGATAATCAACATAAATCGCAACAACAATAGACAATAATGGCTAAATCGGTAAATGGTGGTGGTGGTGGTGTCGTTGATGACAATGATAATGAAACAACACCCATTTGTCGTTGTCGTGTCCTATATCTTGGTTCAGCTGTGCCACATATAACCAAAGATGGTTTGCAAGGAATTCAAGAACCATTAAAAGATCTTTATCCTGAACAAGGTGTTTTTTGGAATACAGATCGTGATCATAATGCCACTGGTATTGATTCATGGCTTTCAGTTTGGTCAAACGGTATATTAGTTGAAAATGTTGACGATAAAGGCAATACGATAAGACGTTTTCATCCAATCGAATCATTACATTATTGTGCTGCAGTACGTTATGTGTCCGTACCGACAAATGATTCAGCATCAACTAAAAATGGTTCATCAAATGATTCGAATAAAATTGCCAAATTTTTACCATTAGATAGTCCTTTTTCAAAAAGTTCTGCGATCGATCCAATGAAAATGGGACATCCACCATTATTTGCCTGTATTTTACGACGTACTTCTGGTATAAAAGTTTTAGAATGTCATGCATTCATATGTAAAAAAGAAGCAGCAGCTAATGCATTAGTACGTTGCTGTTTTCATGCTTATGCCGATACAATGCATGCTAAACAAATTGAACTGGAAAGTCCATACGAACAATTGGATAGACGACGTTCAAGATCAATTGGATCAGCATTAGATTCGCAATCATTAATCGATGATAAAATTAATACATGGCAAAAAAATTCAAATGGTGGATCATCAACAGGATCACCCGATGAAACAAATGGTTTTGGTGAAACAAGATCCATATCGAGACAAAAACAACAACAACGTACACCATCGGTAGCTTCGTTAGTTAGTCATTCGATGGCTGCCGAACATCACCATCATCATCCACCATTGCCACCCCCACCTCATCATCATCATCATCATGGTCTACCGATGATGGGTCTACCTGAACCAATCTACGGCATACCACCATCTGGTACATTACGTAGCGTTCGATCATTCATTTCATTAGCTGCATTAAAAAGTCATAAAAAATCACGTTCACGACAAATGCCATTGCCATTTGCTCATGGTCTACAGCCACAACCACAACTTCTTCCGCCTCCCCCACAACCTGTGATGTTTGCAACATTATCAAAAAAAGAATTGAAAAAAGTACTAAAAAAAGAAAGCACACTGAAACGTAAACATAAATATAAAGAATTTCCAGTCCCATTCGGATATCCTGCACCACCACAACCTCCACAATTTATATATGGTCCACCACCACCATTACCACCTCATGGAATTCATGGTCCAATGCCAATCTATGCTCCACCCATGGGGCCTTCGTATTATGGAACAATCGATAGTCGTAAAAGTCGAGTGCCATCATTACCTCCACCGCCACCACCCACATCTAATATGATAAATGAAAACGGACATTATTTACCTCCACCACCAATTCCACCTTCTTCATCCAGTCATTTCGATGAGCCAATCTATATGCCTGCTGTTCCATCACCAAATGGAACGCTTCGACCTGTTACACCACATGGCGACCCAATTTATTTTGAAGGTCGTAGTGGTAATGGACCACCAATGCCAATGCCAATTCATCATCATCATGGAGGACCACCAGGACCAATGTTTATGGGACCAGCACATCCGCAAATGCTTCCATGTACCTTAATACCAACATTAAGTCGTAAGGAATTGAAAGAATTGGAAAAACAGAAAGCATTGATGAAAAAAGCAGCCAAAAAAGAGAAAAAGAATGCCAAAAAGAATAAAAATCAACAACAACCACAACAGCAGCAGCCGCAAGTCCTAATGAATGGTAATGGTCAGCTTTATATTGAAGAACCACCACCCGGTGATTATTATCAACCCCGATCATATGGATATCCACCTGAAGAAATCGGGGATCCCGACGAATCTATTATATCACCGTCGGAAATGCAACTATCATCTGGAAATTATAGTAACGCATCCACCGGTGGTGGCGGTGGTGGTGGAATATATAAAAAGAAAGGTCATCTTAATGAACGAGCATTTTCCTATTCGATAAGACAAGAACATCGTTCACGATCGAATAGTCTTTCAAATTTGGCATTTGAAAATGGGCCAAATAATGGTGGTGTACCCAATGGTGAGAATGAATCACATAACAACAGTTCGGTTAGTTTAAAAAGTCAAACGAATGCTATGGCTGCTGGTCAACCCGTTCCAAATGGTATAAAAATGATGAATGGCAATGGATCGATACCGTATGAGCAACAACATTCCATGGGTAATGGACGAATTGCAATGAATAATGTCCATCATAATGGCGGACCAATGATGATGGATATGAATGGTCCAATCGATCCAAATACATTGGCAACACGTATGTCAAATCTAAGCCTTAAAAATGGTTATGGACCAAACAATCCACCACCACCACCTCCTCCATTACCTTCAAATGGTTATCATTATCAACAACGAACAGCAACAATCAAACGTCTTTGAATGTTTAAACCATGATTTTTCTATCATTTAAACAAAATTTTGTGATTATTTCGACAATAAAATTGTTCCTATTTATTATTCCATAATTCTTTGTAATTTCCCTATTTCCATTTTACGAAAAAATTCCCGTTCGATAAAATAATAACAAATTAATAACGACAATGATGGACTCTATTTTTTCATTTGAAATTAACGATTTTTTTTGAATTGTTTGTTGCTGTTCATTTTGTTTTTTTCGTATTTTCTGAAAGTTTGTATTTTTTTTGAAAACTAACCCCAATGACAAAACACTCACACATTTAATACAAAACAAATAACAATTAAACAACATTCTCAATGATGATGTATTGTATTGTATACCGATCAGTCAGATTAATTTGTTTTTACCTGTGTTTTTTTTCTTGTATCCATTTTTTTGAAAAAATGTTTCTTTTATTTAAATGAAATTCTTTGAGTTAAATTGCTTTTTTTCAATGATTTTTTTTGTGTGTAAATCTAATAATTTATTATTTGATTTATAATTCATAATAATAATGATAATAAATCCGTTTTCATTTTGAATTTTTGAATTTTGTAAATTATTTTATTCTTATCAAAAAGGTTCGATAGTTCTATCGCCATCTATCCGTCGATTTATCTAGCATTCGCACACAAAAAAAGTTTTTCAATTTATATTCGTCAGATGACAGCACTATAAAAATTGCAAAATTTCAAAAAAAAACTAAAATTTTTGGTTATTTAAAAATCAAAATAGCAATTGTTCTCCTTATTGTTATTATTATTATTTTTAATTATTATTCCATTCAAATTGATTTATTGGGGAAAATCAAATTGAATGAACAAATAGAATGAATGGAATGTCGATCACCACACAATGATTATTTTTTTTGTGGCCACCATTATTTTTCGATGGGAATTTATTGAAATGATAAAAAAAACAAAGGTATAAATTATAACGTTTGTTGATACAAAATGAATGCAATAACATTAATAACCTATATATTTGTCTTGTTTATTTAAATGTCCATGATAATGAGTATTTGTCCTTAATATAAAAAAAAGTGAATTATGATCATGTTTAATAAAAAAAAACAAATGCAAATAAATTTTTTTTCCTGCCAATTCAATTGCTACATTCCACAAAAATCTAGCCTTGTGATTTGTTCGGAGATATTATTTTTTGTTTCATTCATCAAGATTCACTTAAGATCATCATCATTATCTTTCGTTTTTTCTTTCTGGGGAGATCAAGATTATCATTTGATTTGTTTGAAAATTATTTCAGAAAATTTATACCATTAAATTGATAATAATGATCGTGTGGATTTAAAAAAAAAATTCAACTAAAATTTATTTACATATCACCAGATTAAAGATAATCAACTTTAAATCCCGAATGATTAATCTAATCAAATTCCAATGTGTTGGTGGTTTTTTATTCAACTCTGATAATAACGAAAAATTGGAATTGTAATTTATTTCAACTTCCTTCCTTTTTGCCATCCCAAATGTATGGTAATCGATCCGTTATTATGTAAAAACGCAAAATTTAGGCGTGTCCAACCAACGTCGTACAAACACGTGTGTTTATGAACAATCTTAATTATTTCAATATACAATCGAAAATCAAATTGTTACAAATCATTTTGTATTACGATTAAACAAATTTAATGTTTAATTTGTTTTTTTGTTTTGTTTTTGTTTTCATTATTTGTTTGTTTCGAATTTTAATCTATTTAAAATTATTTAAGTTTAATAAAAATTCAAACATAAAACTTTAACTTTATTCTAAATAGTTTATAAAATGCTTACAAAATTTGATCGATATTTAATATCCTTATCATCATCATCATCATTATTGGGTCAATCGATTCATTTGAATATTAGATTGTTTTGTTTATTTTTTTTAATTTGTTGTTTTTTGACAAATAAAATTTTTACATCTAAAATTCAAGCAAATTTGTTTCATTGGATGATGTGTTGAAATAATTTTCTAGGAACTGATTACAATTCTAAATAATTTCATTTCCCTACCTTGATTAACCTAATTATAAGACTGTATTCGAATAATTTTTTTTTTCGTTTTACATCAATCAATTGGCCTCCATATATCACATTGTAATAAATAATCATTTCATTTTCTTTAACGTGAATGACCAATGGCTAATTTTATGATTTATTATTAATAAATAGGAAAAAAAAGTTTCTATTTAATGATACGAACAAAACACAGAAAAATCTCATTCATTCAGGCTAAATCATTATAATTGTAAATTTTATTTAGAAACACTTTTTTTCTGTGGGAAACAGTAACAACACAAAAAAAAAGAAGTGAAAAGGTAAAATAAAAATGAAAACAGTTTATACAGTTTCAAGTTTGTTACTGTTTGTTAATAATAGAAATGTTTGGATCAAAATGTTTCATTCATCCATTTTTATTATTCAGTCAACTTTGAATGAACCGATGTGAAACTATGTATGTTTTTTTTAATAAACAAAACAAAACATGATTTGAAACACAATTTGAATGAATTTTGAAAAGAAATGCAAAAAAATAGATAAATTCTTTGAAAATCCCACAAGAGAATACATTATGCTTATTATTTTTTCTGAATATAAAAAATTTGGCTGTACATAAAGCACTTTTTATATCGAGTCTAGCCTGGCCCCATATTGCACACTATCATCATTATCGCGATTGTTGCCGCATCTTGTTTCGCATAATAAAATATTGTTGTTTGAGAATCATTATTATTATTATCATCATTGAATTCATTTTTAAGAATTCATTATCGTTAGTTTTATTGAGCAACCATCTATTTAAGATTTTTTTTTTGTGTTTAACTGTAACAGACAAAAAAACAAAACAAAATTATAATTTATTCGATTAATTATTCGATGGAAAAAAATGAAAAAAAGTTTGTAACCATTTTGGATCGGACATTTTTCACATCATCATTTTTTCGAATGTTTTTTCTTTTCATTTTTGTGTAATTGGATCGATATTTTTTCTCCTCTCTTGTCCGTTATTATTACACAACATATGTCAAACAACGAATAATCATGATCTGTGTGTTAAATGTTAAAAAAACCATACAATTGATTCGTGTTAAAGAAAAACAAACAAACATTGTCTTTCTTTTAGAAGAATGATTGGTTCTGATCTAATTTTTTCCTATGCATCAAAATTTTGTTTGCACTTTCAATTTCGTTTTTTCCCGTTTGTTTGTGTGTAGGTAGGTGGTCATGAACAAGAGATTAGTTTGTTTTATGTTTACTTATGTGTCCAATATGTATCCAATCATTGATTTAAAACTTTTAATTTTGTTTTTCATTTGTGTAAAATTTATTTATTAACAATTTTTTTTCATATTGATTTCAATTTATCATTCGAGTCAATTCGCATGAAATGAAAAATAATATTGATCGATATTTATGTCGTGTGTGTATTCGAATTGAATTGCAAAAAAAAATTAATTTCTTTTTTTCTTTATTTTCAATCAATTTCATTTTATATTTTCATTATATTTGTTTGTTTGGATGTCAGTTGAAATTTTTCAGAAAAAAAAAATTGTAGGATGCTTATTCAATTCGATCGTTGTTGTTGTAATTGAATTTCCTTTATATCAACAAATAAGCAATCTTTAAAAATTTGCCAAACAATTTTCATAGTCGCTGTACAAAAACGAAATTATGTAGGCAATATTTGATGTTGCTGATGATGATGATGTTGAATATCACAAAGAGTCAGCCGTGAATAATTTTCTTTCTTTTTTCTATTCAACTTTTTGAAAATATTATTTGACTGTTGTTTCATTTGGATCAACAACAACAACAACAACAGCAAAAAAAATCAGTTCAAAGTGGACATAATTCTGTTTGATTTTTGATGGTCTATCACTATTTGGTGTTTATTATGTTTTTTTCCATGGTTTTTTGTTGTTATGGAAAAAAATGCTTACGTAAGCGATAGATTCAAGCCAATCATTGTCAAGTTTTTTTTTTGAAAATGGAAAACTTAAAATAGTTAACTCAAACAGACAATTAATCTTTGGATGTGTGTGAATTGAATTGACCAACATGTCCATCATTTTTTCTTATAGAAGAAAATTACGTGTTAAATTTAGATCAAATACCAAAATTTTTTTGTTTTTTTTTATTGTTGCAGGTGAATATTGCGCATCACACTTAATCAGACATTATCATGAGAATTTTGCTTGGCGAACAACAAAAAAAATCATCATCATCATCATGGACATCTAATCTTTTGTTTTAATCAGTATTATTATTATCAGCATAATCATCATCATCATGAGATGCGTTTCGAATTCATATGAATTTGTTGATTGAATCAGAAAAGAATGTGTTGCATACTATGATGATGATGACGAGTATGGATAATTTACCGTTAAAAAAAACCATTTTCCCAACCTTTTTTACATAATTGGCTTTTTTCCCTTAGAACAGTTAGATATTTGAAAAAGATTGAATGACTCAATTCATTTGGAAAATAAATCCATCGCTATTTCATCATCATCATCATTTTTTGCCATTTGAAATATTTTTTTCCTTGTGGTCTAATGGATCATATTTTTTGTCGATCGATGGTTTATCTAAGGAAAATATACATGCAGCTTGATCGATGTGTGTTCATCATCAGAAGATTTTTATGGCAAAATTCTTTCATTTTACTTCGAATGTATGACAATTGTTGGCTTGACATTTTTGTTTTTTTCTTCATTATCAATTTGTCTATCAAAATTATAAATTTGTAATCTGGAATATGGGTCACTGCCGATAGCAATGATGATGAAGATGATAATGATGATAATAGAAATGGTTCATTATGATGTTTGATGATGAAACATCGGACAAAACTATTTTGAGAAAATCTTCATCAATTTGGATGATGATGATAATAATAATTATTATTATTATAATTAATAAATGGTGGCAAAAGAAAAATGGTCTAAAACTTTGAAGTTTATTTGATTTCTTAGTAAAAAAAAGCATTTTGTGTGGGATTTTTTCGTACTTTGAATATATTTTTTTTTAAAAGGAAACCAAAATTCTTATGAAGAACCATCAAAAAAATTATCATCATCATCATTAAAGATGATGATTACTGAATATAAATGACATCAATTTTTTCTCATATAATGAGAAATGTCAAATCTCGAATGAATAACAAGTTGATCACCACTTAGTTATCTTATTTTTTCGCTTTTATTACATCATTATTATTAGATCAATTTTTTTCTTTCTTTGCTTCTTCAAATTGGATAATAAAAAAACTAATGATAAACAATGTCGCATCATTGAATTGAATCGAATGTGGTTTGAAAAGAAGGAAATGAAAACAGATTTCGATCAATTTAAAAAGATAATTCACCAGGAACAAACTATAGACTATCTCGCCTACACTATAGCATTATTATCGAATATAATTAGTCATTTCTCATATTTTCTTGTTTTATTTGCATTGTGGAAAGAAATTTTTTTCGTCAAATTATCTATTTGGTCATTAGGAAAATCTTTAATAAATAAAATCCAAAAAAAAGATATTAGAAAAATATATATTGTTCTACCGTCAAAAAAAAAGATAATCATCATTATCATTTTTTACAATTATTATTGATTATCCTTCATCAAAAATGAAAAAAACCCAAAATTAAGAGAATCATTCATCTTATATCATGAGGTATATGAGTAAACCTATTGGTCATAAGTAATCATCATCATCATAATCTACGAACATCTTTTTTTTAAAAAAATGACAAACTAACACACCTCATTTGTTGCATCTTTCTCTTTTCTTTTTTTATCTATCTTTTTTTTCATTTGTTTTTATTCTCTTTCTTCAGGTAATTCAAACACAACAGATAGACAAACAAACAAGCTGCCTGTTTGCTTGTTGTTGATAAACATAACTACCAAACAAACACATCCATAGAGTAAAAAAATAATGTTCAATCAAGAAACAAATGATGATGATGGAGATACACATTGCAAATGGCTTGAATAAAAAAGAGAGAGAGAGAGAATGGAAGAAAATTTCATTTTTTTTCTTCTCCAGGATACAAGGTTTCCAGACAGCAATATTCATCAGGCCATTATATGAGGAACACACACGACAATAATCATTTGTTGAATCTATTTTTTTAAAAGAATTATTATTTTCATTAAATGATTGACCGTCAAATGATGATGATGATGATCATCCTTATTATTTGAAATTGTTATCATCCATTGTCTTTGTTTGTTGTTTTTTCAGCTGAAAAGTTGATCCATTTTTTCTGTTCCTATGTTCAATAATGAACAGAGAAAATTCGTGTGCAGCAATCAGTTATCAATGATTTTTTTTTCAATGAAAATTTAGCACCTGTACATATGTTTTTCAATCATGTTATCCACATCGATCCTCTATTGTAATAATATTGAACAAAGTAATTCTCGACCATCACCACCACAATCGTCTTCATTACAATCAGATGATTTGATCCAGAATCATCATTATCATCATCATCATCGTCGCCGTTATAAACATCATAATGATGATTCATCTACGAAAAGTAATGTTAATCCACAACGATATTTACGAACATCATCAAATCGAACACAAACAACAACGACAAATCGTTCGATTGATGGACAATCATCGTTATCGGGTGGATTTAGTAAAAATAGTATCGTTTCATCATCGTTTTCTACTAATAAAACTAAAATCAATAATAGTCATCGTTATCGTGTACAATATCTTGGTTGTAATAGCTGTGATATACGTTCACATAAACCGGATAATGGTATTGGTGCATATCAAAAACCATTATTGGATCTTTATTCGGCTATATTTCGTCGTTCATTAGCTAATCGTTCATTATTAACATTAAATCAAGTGGCCGATCTTTCTACACACGGTATATTTATTGCCGAAAAAGATCGTTTTACATCCTCATCATCATCAACAACGAGTGCACATCACGACAGGATTCATTCACGTCCTGGCTCATCGGCTAGTAATTTAGATTGTAATACTACCTCAAATCAATCGGGATCATCACCATCAACTATTGTGACCAAAGTGATTACTCCATTAAGTAATATTTTATTATGGGCAGCTGTTCGTCTTCAACATCGTACACATTTTCGTACAAATAATAGCAATAGAATGAATGTTAAAAACACCAAACGACGACAAATTGGTGTTGCATTTGTACCGTTATCCTGTTCTGAAGCCGTACTCGATAAGAATGCATTTATAACATTAAATTCAAAACAAAAATTCCTATTAGGTATGTAGCAATCGATTAATATTAATCAATATAACATACTTCGGTACTATATTTTACTAATAATCATCGAAATTGAAATTGATCGATTTTTTAGAAAAAGTAAAAAAGAGAAAGTTAAAATGAAATTGAAAGCAAATTGTAATTTGCACCAAACAAGCAATGATTGTGAAAGAGAAAAAGAAGAAAAACGATATAATGATCGATATCAATATCGATATATCCTTTTGACCTGAATGTCCATTGATGATGATCATGATCAATGAATTGTATACTAAATGTGTACGTTTATTCATTGAAAATATAATTCAAAATCCTCTTTATCGTAATTTTCACGTTAAAAGAAAACAAAATTTTCAATGAAATTAAACATGATAATGAAACAACAAGATGTAATTTTTTTTTGTGAAATAATTTCGTTTACGTATTTTATTCAGAGTTAAAAAGGTCAGAGATAAATAAGTAATGTTAGAAAAATAGTTGAAATTTTTACTTTTTTTAGCATAGAAAACTATCACATTTTTATCAGTACCATCATAGATCGACGACAATTAATTATTATTTACCACAATCAAATGATGTCAACGATGTAATATCATCATCATCATCATCATTATTATCAAATGAATCTTTTTTGATTAATATTTAGATGATGAACTTACTTAGATGTGATTCATATATGATACTGCTTTTGTAAATAGTTTAATTGCATTTCACCATCGAATGACATTTCGAAATGAGCCTTTCATCAAAATTATATTTGATCTTCTCAAATAACTGTTGTTTGCCTATGGGCCTTTTATTTTCATTTGAAACTATGCAAATATTAATAATAAAAAAATGTACGACAATTAGATTGGTGATGATGATGATGATGGTGACTTTTAATTATTCCATTGTTTTTTCTAGAAATTTTTTTCTGCAAATTGCTAAAATATAATAGGCCTTGTGACTATTTTCGATTTGTCTTTGCTTTGTCAGAATTGGCATTTTTCATTTTTTTCCTCATATGTTTTTTTCTGAATATTTGATGATAATAATTATAGCTGTAGTATAAAAAATGGAAGCCATTCAAATATTTGCGGTAACATGAACAATGTGCTATGAGAGCAACTTGGATATGACAATACACCCTATAAATCTTTTGATTGATAAATCGATTTTGCCGTTGTTAGGATACAATCGATTTCGGACTTTATATTCCATTCATTGATGAAAAATCAAACATTTACTTTTGGATTTTTTTTAATATTTTGAATATAATTGATTGATAACTAATCGATTTTCTAAATTTATCTTAGCACCAACATCAAAAACATGATTGATTCATATCTGTAGGCTACAATTAAAATCAATCAAGCTAGACTAGACATTGTGTTTCAATTATAATCAACGATCATTTCAAGAGATTAATTAATGTTTGATCAATTCATTTTGTGATAAAGTTATCATTTCTTACCTAGTAAGAACGAAGATACTGAAATTTAATCAAAACCAATTTACATTCTCTGTTGATTATTTATTTTTAGGACAATTTCTATAAGAACAACAAGAACCAGTCGAGATATTATAATGGGAAAAGATTACCATTGTCTGTGAATATGATTTGCTATTGCAAATCATATGTAAATCATTGTTAAGTTCACACGATTCATTTAATCTTCAATACCATCCAAATATAACATTCACCTTAATTCATCTTAGATTACCGAAATCATAATTTTTTTCATTTATTTCTAATTTTCACAATTCAAAAGTATTAAATTACAATTATTTTAGTTTTGGATTGAATAAAGCAAAAAGAAATTCTCAAACAATTAAAAAATCATTATTCTGTAATATAAATCTTTCGCTATTTTAAGGGATTGTTAAATTCAAATGATCATTATCATGTGTGACCATTGATTTTTCAGACTAAATACGCACGGATAATTTTTTGGATATGCAATACAGGTTACTAATGAGCATTTAAACAAAAAGAGGAATTTTCATCCGGTTTTTCCTTAAAATCTGGTAATCTGGTGAAGATTTTTTTGAAAGTCAAATCCTAAATTTGAAAAAAAACAGAAAAACAAATAGCTTTTAATGATTACGATGGAGACGACGAAAATTCCATTTATAGTCGATAGTAAAATTTCATTCCTTCAGTCAACGACTAATCGATGTCCATCAAAAGCTAGCCACTATTTCTTAATGAAATTAATAATTGAATTTTTTTTCCTTTCGTTGAAAACAACAAATGACAATTCCAAATTCAATTTCAATTTGTTTTTGTTTTTATTTTTTCTGTATTTGTGTACGAAAAGTGCATTTCAATTCAATTTTTTATTCATTTTTTTTAAATTTAATAGGAATACCACATCCACCATTATTTGTCTGTATCCTTCAGAAAATTAATTCCAATCAACGATTAGAATGTCATTTATTTGTTTGTGGTACTACTGATGATGCTATTCATATGTGCAATAGTATGGATGAATTAAGACAATGTCAATCAACTATTGGACGATTACAGATTCCAGCCGCTGGACAAATGGGTAAATATTCTTATAATAACAATCGTCATCATCGTATACCATCATCATCAACATCATCAATAATAACACGTTCATCTACGCCAAGTCAAACTGCATCCGAATTTTCAATATTATCAACAACGATTAGTCGTCCTAGATTTTCTGATATTGAAGAAGAAGATGCTGATGTTGAAGAAGTAGTACGTGAAAATGATTTCAATGATGAAGATGATCATCTTTGTGTGGTTCTGCACAATGGCTACATTCATCAGAAAGAAACTGATGTAAAAAAATTAATTGACAACTACCAATCACAAATAGTTGATAACAAAAACAATTCTCGACAAGCAATGGGGAACAAAACTATTCAGCATTCAGCAACAACAACAACAAAGAACAATGATAACAACGATGGCCAATCAAAGATCAAGTATAGTAATGCAAGGTATATTATTAATTTTTTTCCATTGTCCATTCATTATTTGTATGTTTGAAATGTTTTTTGTTTGTTGTCATCTAAAGAATAATGACAAATGATGTAAATAAAACAGCACATGATGCAGATGTAATAGATTTTCAACGTAATTTTTTACAATAATAGCTAAATTCCCAACCATCAAATTTTTCTATTTTCTTATTATTGTCCAAAATGGATTTTTCATTTTATTTTTTGTTTCTTGTCAGTATCCATATAATCATATGTATGAACAAGGGGAAATGAACAACCACAATTGAATTCACAATGGGCGTAATTCAAGTAGTAGAATAGTGATTTTGACGGTGGATGATCTACGAAATATGAAAAAAAAATCAGTTAACAAAGATGTATTTTAGTCATACAAAAAAAAAAGAAAAAATACAATCACAAAATATCAGTGTTAATGGCCCATTTTAATGTATTTCAATTTTGTTCCATTCAAATTTTTCGATTCATATCAAAAAGCCGAGAAACTCACTAAATTTAATTTTCCCATGTCGAAACATATTGGTTTGACCTTAGAAGAAAAAATAACTTATCGATTGATATTAATCAAATAACTCATTAATCAAATGTTACATTTTTGTTTCATTCATTCTGATTTAGATTGTATGATCAAACAACGAGAATGATTGTTGACAACAAGGTCGCCATCAATAATCAAAATGATACTGTTGTTTTTAACAACAATGTTTGGCCATCTGAATTATCATCAATTATAAGCGGTGGTGGTGCAAGTAGTACATCGAAATCAATTTTATCGAATAATACAAAAAAATTACAACATAATGATCATGATGAACAACATGCCGGTCTAATTGCTCAACGTGATTATCGTTTTGAATCATACAAACCTACATCATCTTCATCATCATCATCATCAGTCATTATTGGTGATGAACCGACAGTTATAAATGATATCCGTAGATCCTGCAATAAATCCTCAAAAAATGTGACAAAATCAACTAATCATCAACAGCTTCATCGACCAAAATCCGAACATAATCTTATCAGTCATCATCAACAGCATCTAAATCAAAAAAATCAACCACTTAAAAAACCAAACAAATGGCCAACAACAAATGATTTGATCGGCACAACAGATGAATTGCTAAAAAATCGCTTGTTTGTAAGTTAAAAAAAACAATTTTTAAAAATTCAATAGAAATGATAAAATCTTGAGAATTTCACACCCGGTTTCACAAATCCTCTAATTGTACACCACTGAATTATTACCAGCTATCACATCATATTTACACAATTAGTTCATCGATAATTGAAATATCGTGATCAATGATCATCTGTCATTCATTTAGTCATATGATTCATTCGGTTCATTTGAATTTTTTCAATTATTATCAACATATATTGTGTGACCAAGACCTTCAATTGTTTTTTAAGTGGCATTTAATTTTTTTATCAAAAATCTCTTGTTTCAAGGATATCACGTAGTAGTGATAATTCTTCAGTGGTAGTCAATTTCATTTGTTTTTTTTTTGTTTGTTTCGTTGTTCGTTATTCTATTGTTCCGATTAGTCAGAATAGCTTTTTAAAGTTATATTGTCTCCAACTGTATTTCATTTTCTGTCGACAACTTTATTTTAGCATTTTTTTTCAAATGATCCGATCGTTAATACAATATTAAAGATAATATTTAGATGAATGATATTAACAATAATAATGACGATAAAGCCCAGGTAAAACCAACATGTTCCTACTCTATTCATTCTACGTTATTGTTGTTGCTTCGTTGTTGTTTCGATAAACAACAACAACTTTGATGAAAATTTTGAAATCTTTCGTTATATTCATCATCATCATACGTTTATATTCATTGCAATAAGTAACGATAAGAAAAAAAATAGGAAAAAAATGTAAGGCCACCGGGCACACACAAAACAACAAACGAAAAACTTTGTTATCACGAAATATCGTGATGTAAACTCTTAAAATTTTCTACTTTTTCTTTTTTCCCTTTCTCTCTATTGTCCATATTCTTTGTGTTTAATAAGGAAGAGATAGTCATCGTTGTTCATAACAGTTGTCTCTTTGTTGAATCAATTTTTTTTTTTGTTATTACTTGACATTACGATTAACACCTTTATCATAACTAAATAATTACAATAATAAAATAAAAACAAAAGTAAAATTAAGACAAACTTAATTTCGATCATTAAAAAAAATATTCTTTGTTTTTTTTTTGATAATATGATTTTCCGAATTCCACACTAATCTTTCCGGTATATTATAACAGGCGAAACAGGCATCTTTAACTAATCAGCCATATAATGATGTAATCGACACAAATGGTCAATCAACATTCACAAATGATCATAATGAAGAACCAACTGGCTTACAAACATTTTTTGGTGATTCAATGCGTACCAAAAAGAATCATTATCAACAAAAACAACAAAATCAAAAAATTTCTCCAACAGAACAAACAATCATATCGAATTCAATATTTTTAGGTAATGAAGATGATTTCTCATTGTCTTCAAGAAACAGTCGTTCGAGTAAAGATTCATTAACGGGACCTAATCAAAAGACAAATGTTAATCACAACAATAAAAGGAAAAGTAAGAAAACAAACTTAGACAAGTTGATTATTCAAACACAAATGACAACAGAATCACCTCAGGAAAATGATAGGCTATCATCCTCAAGGTAAATGAACACTTTGTTTACAACAATGATTATTATAATTAAACCTTTTTTCTATTCTCGCGTTTGTCTAGATTATATGAAAAAGATTCGGATAATAACAATCGTTCATTGAAACTTTATTTACCAACCGAACAAAACAGTAATAGTAATAATAATGGTGCCAATTTAGGAGTAAAAGGATTCAATAAAAGTTCACGCGTTGAAACATGGTCAACAATGATTGCAGCAACAGCATCAGATGTTTCTGCATGCAATCTATGTCAAATGGAGTTGGAAAATTGTGATAAATGTTGCAGCTTTTGTCAAGCAATTGAACAACATAAACGAAAATTTCGTATCGAATGTCAGTGCGAAAAAGATGACATTGGTTGTGAGAATAATATAAATGATGATATCATTCTTGATGATATGACCATGGAAAACTTTCATACAAATTTTAATCATAATGATAATAATTGCTCAACTACAATCGCGAATAACAATAGGGAACGTTTACTCAGACAGCCAACAGAATCAATTAATAACAATCAACGGTTACCATCTCAATGCCGTCCACCGGATCCTACATTTTTTAGCCGTATACGACGTCTTAGTTGGCAATCATTGTTTGGAAGTTCACGTAAAAAAGCTAACGGATCTCGTCTATGGAATCGATTACGTACGGGTAGTCAAAGATTAAGAGGAAGTCGGCGATATTTTCAGAATAAAAGTAGAATTTTTCTTCCACAAACACCAAATTTAAGCAACAATACCGATTCTTCCAACGATCATCGACAAAAATCAAGGGAAAATTGTCCGAAGAATTATGCTAATCGTTTTTTCTATGATGAACATTATTTAAAGCCACCAATCGACCAACAACATAGACTTAAACAAATAAATAATTATCATAACCATCATGAGAACAATCATAAGACCGTAAAGAAAGATGACAACAACAGCAATGTAGAAAATTCAATTCGAACCGATGAGAAAATCACCGAAACGAATGATAATGATAATAAAAGAAATATGTTAATGTTTCACGCTGTTGAAAACATGAAAATTAACAATAATAGTAAAACAAAATCCGTGATCAAACATCAACAACAACAGCAACGTAATAAGCTAAATAAAACAATAGATAGAAACCATTCATCGGCTTTTGTTGTTATCGATAATGATGATGATGAAAATATTAAACTACATCCATCGAGACATTCAGAATTACAAATGAAATCTATGGTTAATTTCAATAAAAAAATTCAACAACAGCAAAAACAACTGTTACATGATTCAGCCGATTTCATCAGCCCATTTTTTATTAGCCATCCTGGAAAACAATCGAAAATCGATACCAATAATCCCAATCATCATCTCGAAGCAAAAATGGCCGGACTTGGTCTCAACGGCATCAGCATATCATCGGATTCCGGTATCTGATTTTTTGAATTAATTCTTTGCATAACTAATTGAATTGTTGTTTATTTTTTTTTGTAATTTTTATGTATCAAGGAATGGAAGAATACGATTGTCATTCGAGTGCTGAACATAGTCCTTCTGGAAATTATTATCGACATCAAAATTCATGGCTGCAATCAAGTAATGATGCGATAATGCAAAAATCTGATATTTTAAGGATTTCTAACAAAAATTTACATCCTTTTAATTGCATCGATGAGATGAACAATCATTCCACTTTAATGGAAAATTCAAAAACAAGTTCATTAATAATGCCATATACACGAGATTTTCGACGTAAAGCTGGTCATTGGTCTAATACGAATCTCGAAAGTCAATTGGATTTTATTCCTTGATGTTTCTATTGATTGATTCATTGAAAAAAAATATTTTTATATAAAGAATCATTCTCTAAAACTATGATAAAAAGTTTTTTCATTTATTCCGAGCAATTTCGATTGCGAATGATTTTAGTAATTTTTACTATCACTAGATAACGCAATTAGCTGTTAATGACCATTCTGCAGACCGTTCGCGTAATTGACACCTGTTGAATACTTATTATTACCATCTAGTGTTGGTAAAAATAATCACATTTTTGCTGACTTTGTAAGATATTTTGCCTTACACTAGATGACGCTGCTATTTTACAAAAAATAGTTCACTTTGTCGATAATACTTTGAAAAAGGTAAGAGTTCTTTGCGATTCTCTTTGAATTTTTATTTATAAAAAGATAAGAAAAATAAAATTACATTTTGAAAGCCCAAAAATGAACTTGTGTTTCAAATTGAAAAAAGGGTCAACAGTGATATAAAATAACTAGATTCTAGGGTAAATCTTGTTCGAATTTAACAACTATACAGGTCATATTATCGCCACCATTTTGACCATCTATCGGTCGTACAGGTGATATACATCTCTGAATTACTTCCTGACAAATTTTCGAAGGTTTCATTTTCTTTTTGATGCATTTTTTAATAACTGAACAAGCTTCTTTTTCGTTCATGGAGTTCCAAATACCATCACAGGCAAGAACAATAAAATCATTTCGACGGAACTTTTCGTTTGATACAGTCAAATCTGGCCAGGCAATTACAGCTTGTTCTTTCGGGCCAAGAGATCCATTTGATTTGAGCATATAATCACCAAATGCGCGAGATAAATTTAAACCCGAATTGATACGGCCATTTATGACACGAGATCCAGACATTTCAATTCTTTTAAGTTCTTTCGCATCGGTGGGTTTATGATCCAAGGTCATTGGATGAGATTTGTTTTTGTTGTAAATTGCACATCGTGAATCACCAATGTTGGACACATGCAGCTGGCCATTCTGTTTACATAATAAGGCAACCACGGCTGTTGAACCTGTCACCATTGCTAATAATGGCGAAGTTTGGCGTCGTTTTATACGGCCATAACATAATTCATATTGGTGACTTATGTTTTTCAATTCATTATTAACATCGTTGTCCAATAGTGAAGAATCGAATTGTAAGAATGCTTCTTCCAATGCTTTGCCTAGAAAGTAAAAATGAATTAAAATCAAATGAACATAGAGATAAATCACAGGAAAAAATACCATAATCTTTTTTCCAATAATGGGAATTATTTTTAATCAATTGAGGTAAGTGTTTGGCAGCGTAACAAGCAATTTCGGGTCCATTATGGCCATCAAAAATGGCAAACAATGCCAAACGATTGACAGGATCAAAATTAAGATCACAGATATGGGCATCCTCTTGATTAACACGCCAACCTTGAACCGAAGCAACACCGGCAGAAAGCTTATCATCATCACAATAATCATTACATACACATTCTAATTTAGGAAATGATAGATAAAATTGAGCAACAATTTCTTCTTGATATTGTTCATCTTCATATTGTTGTCGAGCAGAAGTTGTTTGTTGACCATTCGAACGTAAAGCAGAAAACCAACTCATTATTTAATGAATGAATTCAAAATAAAAGACTCGAATTTATTCACAACAAAATTGCCGCTAAAATATTACACTTTTTGTAACTGGTGAGAAAAAGCCAAATTGAAATCGAACACAAATCAAATACGACATCAAAACTATTTGAACATAATTGTTGGAATGAAATATGAATGATCATCATCAAATATAGATGATGATGATCATTGTATAGAAACAATTAAATTGTTTATTCATTGTCTATTTATCAATGATAACTATTTATGGAATCACATCACAATGGCAATAAATTGATTGATTGACAAAAAAAACATCAGCATAAACTAAAGAAAAAAAAACAATGTCATGAAATGTATCGACAAAGTATTAACACCGATTAATTGATAGTTCGACAATAACAAATATTGAGAATCTGTTTGAGAACTAGATCAAATCCTATTAGAAATTATTATAAAGATTATGAATGAGAACGAATAAAATAAATATTTAAAATGAAATGAAATGAACCAACCAAACAACATTAACTGTCTTCATTAATTTACAGATAATTAAAATAATGAAAGAAAGTAAAGAGAGAAGTAAAAAAATAGACTTTAGGTATATAAATTCACACTGGATGTTGCTATGTAGCCATTGTATTCTAAACCAGGTGCAACTTGATAGAGACGATAATTTGTTGTTGTTGTTGTTCTTGGATACCTGCCAAATCGACCATATAAGATCATATTTCTGTAGCCTCTTAATATTCGTGGTCATGTTATGTTAAAACGTAAAAAAATAAAATGAAACAAACAAACAAATTAAATGAATCAATTTTTCTTATATCTATCAGATATATTTCAGAAAAAATGAAATTAAAACTTGAAGATAAAATGATAAGAACCTCTTCTTTTTTTCTAAGTTGGTTGCTAAAGTAGTGCGCGTTTGTCATTTACGATTTTATTGATCACGGGATTGTGTAGAACTAATTTTATTTTTTTAAAAGAAACTTTTCATTAAATCAATAATTTTTGTGTAATAGTTGTTTTGCTATATTTTTCATTAGGACATTGAATGCGTGCAGTATTTTTTTTCCAAAATATAGTTTCAGAAGATTTTATGATTCAAAATCAAATGAATTGTTGTTTGAGTTAATAAAACAAAAATCCATTTGATGTATAGTGATAGCAACCAGACATTATTATTGCCAATCATTTGTGTTTGTGTGTGTGTGTGTTTTTTTGCAGTTAAAAAAAAGGTTAATTATCATTATATTTTTGGTGGTGGGATATTTTGATTGACATATGAAGACATAAATATAATATAATAACAAAATAAACAAAAAAATAACGATTAATATTGAATCGAAAAAATTGCTTTTGGTGTTTGTTTTTTCGGGTTAAATTAATGACATTAATTATATAATCAAAGCTCAATAGATAATGGATCATTTTTATCAAAATCAATGGATGATTCGGCAACTTTAACCATATCTTTTTCATATTTATCACTCATTGTACGAGTTTGATCATATTGATTGGAAGGACAATTCGAATATCTAACAGCACATTGATGACATTGATTATTTCGACCAAATTCATAGCCACGATCACCACCGCTAAAAAAATAACCCATTGGATCTTTTTCGGTCGTGCCAAGCATCTCTACTGAATTTATCATTGGTTCACCTTTGATCTCTCCTTTAACTGTTCGTTGACATATATTTTCACATAATAATCTTGTCATACAATCGGTTAAATTTTGTTGTCGCGTTGTATCAAGTTCTTTGTTGAAAAAATCTTTAACATAACCTTCAACAAAATTTTCAAACATTCCATCGTCGGTATTATCGGATATATCATCAGCACAGTTTGATGGCATAAATAAGACAGATAACAATAATAACAAAAACAGAAACATTGACATTATTGGTCGAGATAAAACAAAAATGAAAACAATGTTAAAATGTTCGATTCAAACATCAAATATGACCGGATGAAAAATGAAAAACTTAGCTATCGAAATTGAGCTTGAAATACCTAACTATTAAGATACTATATTTGAATTACAGCGGAAAATATCTTTTTGAATACAATTATTGAATAAGAGAAAAAACTTGCAAAAAAAACGCTCGATTGAACACACATATACGCAATCCTTGGGGAATTTTTTACGGATAAAAGCACACATAATCGTACTAATGTTGATGTATTCAGAAAATGTAACGAAATGAAATGAAACGAAACTAACTATTGAAAACAAAAACAAAAGCTAAAATGAAATTACATTTGGTTCTTATTCAAATAAAATTTCATAACATACTGACCATTGTTTGTTGTCATTAAACAGTAACATTTTTTGACATTGAAAAATGGAAGAAAATGGTGCTTTGTTTACAATGATTTTTAAAAATTGTAAACGGATTCAATTTTTTTGAAAGATTCGAACGCAAACAAAATTTACAAATGAAAAACCAATAAAAGCTTTACCATTCGGCACATAGATGGTGGTATTGTTTTCAATCGAAAAAAAAATTCAGGAAATAAACATTTATTATTTTGAAATTGAATTGATGATTTTGAAAATAATTTTTTTTCGACCGGTGAATAAGAATGATGATGAGTTTTGAGAGCAGATTTTTTTCAAGTATAAAAAGACAAACCAGTTGTCCATTATGTTCAACTTTCTTTACAACAATTTTGTCGTGATTTTCCAATTTCAAAAAAAAGAATAATAACGATATTGTACACGATGGCTTTTTATCATGTATTGAATTTTTGTTTCGTTGTCTTAACTTTGATCCAAATTGTTTATGGTCAAGAAGCAATTGAAAATAATGAAACTACTACGTCGACATCATTAATACCTTCATCAATTGGCTCGATATCATTTAACGAATTAAACGAAACATTTCATCAAATTTTATTCAATACAGCCAATTTGACTAATCAATGGCAACATGAATTATTTGATCAATCAACAGCTATCGTATCGAATTTAACCAAGCAATTGGAATCATTGAATAATAATACCTTGGTTCATATGCTGTACAATACAAGCCGTACATCAATGGAAACAGGTACTACTTTATTTACCGAAAGTGTTGCGAGACCTGCAACATTCTTTATTGGACAAAATTTACGTTTACTTGGCAGTGGTCTTTGGTCATTGGGACATTCATTAAAACATTCGGGCTACCATATTTCTAATTTGGAACCAGTCATCCAAAACGTATCACAATCATTATCTGAATATGGTATTAATCTGGTCAATGCAAGCATGAACATTACACAGCCCGATATTAAACAACAACAATAAGCCATTATTATTAACGTCGACGCAATTTGTAATCATAAAATTAAATTATCCATCGATTTGTTTTTTGAACCATTTTTTTACTATTGTTTTACATTAATCATGAACGTCCCATCATAATTTGACAATTTTTTTACAACTTTGTAAATTATTTGACATTAATCCCAATAAACTTTTTGAAAAATTAGCAGAAATGAATAGTTCAAAGGTCGCAGAAAGAAAGAAAAATTAATATGCAATTTTTTTTAAAATTTTTATTTTTATTTTTTATTTTTTGTTTATCATCAGATCATGTGTTTGTGTATCATTCAATTTGTAATCAGTCAATTAAATTGAGAAAAAAAATTTCAGGTTTTTTAAAAATGTTTTTTTTCAAAAAAAAAATTATTATGACGATGATGATGATCAAATGAAAATTGATAGAATGAATAATAATAGAATATTTTGAAGATCAAGAAAGAGACAGCGAAAAAAAATTTGATGAAAAAAAAGATAAACAATTGAAATATATAGATCATAATAATTATATCATAGCGAGAATTTTCGTTATTTTTTTTGAATTGGTTCCAGGATCATCGTGGCCATTGTGTTTAGCATCGTATGTCTATTGTATGTATGTGTGACAGTGTGTATATATACCACACATTGGTGGCTGTTCTTTATTGATGTTAAATAATAAATGTTTTTTTTAAATTTTTTTTTTATTCAATCAATCCCATAGATCGATGAAATGCAAAGTATTTTTTCTGTTTGTTATTTTGTTTATATATAGAAAGAGAAAGAAAGAAAAAGTGAAGGAGGAAATATAAGAAACAAAAAAAATTGTCGTATGACAAATTGATTGACAAAGAGAGAGAGAGAGAAAAAAAACAGAGAAAAAATTTTTGTTTTTTATTTTTTTCGTTATGAAATATTAAAATTTTGGAGAAAAAAAAACCGATGATGATGATTTTGATGATGATGATGATAATAATGATCAAAAATGATGGTTATTGCGTGTGTGTGTATGTGATCATATTGTTGTTGTGTAAATTGATTTCTGATTACAAGCAAAAATATGTTAATTGTTTGTATACATTTATAATAAGAAAGATATTTTGTTGTTGTTTATTGGTTTTGAAAAATCATTTCATTTGATTCATGAATTTTATTTTATTTTTAAATATTATTGCATTGTTTACAATCGAGAGTGGGTTGCATGTATATTTATTGCTTACTTTGTTATTGATTTCAAATCAACACTGTTTAAAAAAAATTATTGCTTTCGGATTCGAAAGTTGTACAATTGATTTTGTTGAACAACAAAAAATGATGATGTTTTATTTTGTACTTTTTAAATTTTGTTTTGTTTTGTTTTTCAATCAACAGAATATTAATGATAAAAATGAGAACAAATTTTCATTTTTTAAAAGAATATATAGGTGATCGTATGGGGGTGTGATGGATGTTGAAGTTTTTTCGTATTTTGTTTTCACCAAAAGAATAAAAATATCAAAAAAAAAATGAAACAAACAATTTGAATGAGAAAAATATATATAAGGAAAAATTTTAGTTTTAGTTGTTATTTTGACATTGTCAACAATTGATTGATTGATTGGTTATTGATTTTTAACAAAAAAAAATTAACAAACAAACAAAACAAGAATCCAAATTGAATGGCGGGTCAAGTGGATAAAATATGAATTTTTGAATATTTAGTTTTTATTAACAGAAAATTATAATTAGAAAGAAACAAAATGCCAAAAAAAAATTCCGCATAAGTTTCCATCAGTGAATCGGATTTTTATTTCTCTCTCTCTTTAAAGAGAGAAACACAAGGATGTTGAGTGTTGACTGTCGTGGGTTTTGTATCAAATTATTGCTGTGGTCCAATCTCAACGAGATTTCAAAAGAATGTGTGAAAAAAGGCTTAGCATATTAATTAGGAAGAGAAAAATGAAAATGAAAGAATAAGAAACAGAAAACAACAACAACAACAATCATGATTGTTACAGATGTACTGAAAGGTGGGTGTGTGATGATGATGATGATGATGATAATGATAATGATAATGATAACGAATCGATATAATGATTTAATGAATGGGGTTCAATTTTTTGGCTGCAAACAAAAAAAAAATTTGCATTTGTATTTTGTTTATAGAAGTTGATGATTAATAGTGATGAAAAATGAAGACAAGGAAGAATATGGAAAGATGCGATAATGATCAAATAAAACAAACAACAACAACAACAACAAAAAAGTTTTATTTGAAAATTTAGATTGTTGTTGTTTGTGTTTGCCTGGAAGTCATATATCTCTGGACTGCATTCATATTGGTTTTTATTATTTTCTTTTCTATTAATTAATTCGATAGAATTTATTGTCATAAAAATCGTTTGTTATCAATGAATATCAATTCTTGCTTTGTTGGTGGTATATTCCATTCATAAACTTTTTTTTATATAATAATTTTCACTTGAATTTAATCGAAATTGATATGTTTGCTGATGTTTGAATGTGTTCATTATTATTAGTTATTTATTTATTTTAGAAGAAACAAGAAAAAATCTTCAAACTTTTAATTCGAAATTTTTCCAAAACGAACCGGAAGAAAAATTGTGATGTTGTTTGAGGAAGAACGGATCGTCGGTTTTATTTTCTTCATAATTTTTCTTTGATTAGTTTAGTTTAAAGTGATGAATTCTGTTTATGAATTATATTTATCGAGAAAAAAATTCGGTGTTTAGGGAATGGATGAAATATATCAATATTCGAGAAATAATTAATGAAAAAGAAAATTTAAAATGAATGTGTGTGATTTGAACAAGAAATATGATTTTGTTTCGTTTTTCAAATTAAAAAACGCTATTTTCATTTCACTTATTCTTAAATGTTGATGATCACATTTAATTTGAATCGTATTGTTTTAGCACATTATTAGATGAAAGCATGATTTATTTTTTGTGAGAATTTTAATGGATTCATTTTGTTGATGTTTTATGTTTGTAGCAGAAATAGTTGTTGGTAGATTAATTTATTAGATGGGAACGTTATTGATGATAAATTATTTCAAGATTTGATAGCGAAAAATTGGTATGGACTTGGAACAAAGCCGGTGGCTGTTTACGATTGTTGTTATTATCGTGTATATATTGTGTGTTGATAGTAAATAATGATGTCGCGTTTCATGTCCAGCGCAGATTCATCATGTGGTAAACGTCAGGCAATGATTATGCGAAAGAAAAAAAGAAATCGAAAAAAATTCAATGAAGCAAAATGTGAGTAAGTTATTTTTAAAATGAAAATTTCGGGTATATATGGTAGAGCGGATAAGGTATCTCGTCTGTGTATTATGCTAAATGATGACTAATATTCGAATGAAAATCGTTCAATAATGCCGCGCTAGTTTTTTTGAATTCCTGGCTTTGATTTTTATTCTAATAGAATAATGTTGCTTGTACGCAATAATAATAATAATAACAATAATCTTGAAGTCACCTACCTGGCCAAACATCAATCAATCAACTAATATCGATCAATATATTGAGATTATTATTTTACACAATAAACGATTTATATTGATAAACCCGACGACCACAATCAACCACAACTGGACATTTTTGGAACAATATTGTAGCAGACATGTGTGTGTTGTTTTGTGTGTATATTAAAATGCATGTATGTTTATAAAACTCGAATTTTTTCGATTTAATTTATACAAATCTTATCATTTCATTGAATAGATTTTTGTTTCAGCGAATAAATGGATGGAGAAAAAAAATATAATGAATTTTAAAAGATGAAAAAAAAATTATTGTGAAAAATTGTCCAAGATAAAACATATCCAACATTATCAATATAAATGATTGAAATCAAATTTAAAAGATGAGAATGAGAAAAAGACAAAAAGGAATAGTGATAAAGAAATTATGGATTAAATTATCAATATCAACATCGCATAGAGAAAAAATAATGGAAGACCAGTGAAGTGAATAAAAGAAAAATCAATGCATCATTCGTATCATGCACCATACAACAGACCACAAATATAATTGTTTGGATGGAAATCAACAATTTTTGATGCAAAATGTTATTGTGTTCAGCAATCAATCAATCAAAATCATCAATTGATGAAAAATAATAAGAATATTGTGAATATTGGAAAGAACTTGCGGTTCTTGCTTCTGCAAAATAGATCATTGATATCCGCAATCGAATAAAAGAGCGAAAAGAAAATGAGAAAGAGAGAAAAAGACGTCATGAAAAATAAATAAAACAAATAAAAATTTTGAAGAAAATTTTTTGCCAAAAAAATAAATAAAGAAAATGAAAATCAAATCAAATCAAATCAAATCAAATTTAAATAGAATTGATAAATGAAAAAGAGAGAAAAAAATTCAAAATATAAAACAAGAAAAAAAGAGAATGATTTTTGAATGTGTTTGTGTGTGTGTGTTGTATATGGATATTTTTGTTTCATAATTTAAATTGTTAATTTTTTTTGAAAATTAATTGAAAATTGTAAAAAAATAAAATGAAAAAAAAATTATCATCATCATCATCAATCAATCAATCAATGATTCGGTTTTAGCAAGATATTTACATTATAATAACGATGATTATATAATAGAATTCAAAAGAAAAAAATAAAAGAAAAGAACATTTTGTGTGATTTAGAAATAAATTTTTCATGTGTATATGATGGTGTGTGTAGTTGTTGCATTCAAATATCACAATTGGACTCTTTTCTTCATTTATCCAAGAAATGTTTGTGTGTGGGTGGGTTTTTTTCTGGAACTGTAAACATAGAAAATATATATTTTTTCTTTTTTTGACTGGAATCTCATCCGATAAGGAGGTATAAATAAAAAAACAAACTGTTTTTCAGCAGTGTTGAATGAAATCAATCAGAATTGTAGTTGTTTTATTTTTATTATTGCAAATGATAAAGTTATGTTTAGTATTTTAAACCCGCAAATATATTTATGAATCGAAACAAATTAATCAATGCAACGATCGATTATTTTTTTGTCTCTCTTTGTGTGTGTGTTTTTGACATTTTCTATGTAATAATTATCATTGTCATCATTAAAAAAAAATTTGAATAACAATTTATCATGTCAAAAATATTCAAACACGTAGTTTATGTGGTCCAGCCATTAGATGATGATGGCCACTCATTATAATATCGTTCACTTGATGACCGGTTGCAAAGTTGTGGCCGCCGGGTTGTGATTGTGTTGGCTGTGATAACTGATGATGATGATGGTGTGATGGTGGCTGTGTTTGTGGATGGCTATGATGATTATTGTTGGTGGTTATCGTCGTCAAACCGTTCGAAACGGCAGCTGCGGCTGCTGCTGCGGCCGCAGCTGTACCATTCGAAGCTGCAGCAGCTGCCGCCGCTGCAGCTGATGCGAACATTTGACTAGGCAAAAATGGTAAACAATAGCTGGATACCGGAAGCACACCGTCGACGCTACCTGTATTGGTTTATTGTATACGATAGATACGGTATATATAGTATCTCTTATATTGATTGATTTTTGTAGTTTGTCGCTAGCTGGGTTTTTCTGATTGTTATTTTTTCGCTATATGCGCCTCATCATTTAAAAGGGAACAATTATAAATATAATTCTTAACAATTGATGCAAACATGTCTTACGGTTCGGTTATTAGTAGCATCGTTGAAAAGTTAATTATTTAATAATAACGAGTGTGTATGTGTGCGCAGGAATATGGAATTTTTTGAAAAGAAATAAAAGCCCTAGTCATAAAGCCCTTATATTAACGATCTTGAACTTTGATCGAGACTTCTAAGCTCTCTAGTGGAACGAGGATAACGAGAACCAGGATCCACAACCATAACAATACGAAGGGTCAGGTATGCTGAATGTTATTAAACATGAGAAAAATGATCGATGCTTACCTGTAAATGGATAGCCAAAACCCGGATAACTTGGATAACCGCCACGACCAGCATAACCAGCTGCATAGGCTGCGGGAAAACCTATAGTAAAACAACAACAAAAAAAATATAGAGAATTAATAGATATAAAAGAATGTAAAATGGAGAAAGACTGAAGAAATTGACGAAAAAATGTTTCTAAACATTATCTAGTAAACTAAAAGGCTAAATATTGGATCTAAAAGAAAATAATAATTAAATAATATAAACATGCAACTATTTCAATGGTCTTTCTATAATAAATCTAATAATAAAATGATAAAATATAAAATTAAATAAAACATAAAAGGGTTAAATAAAATGATTATCAATTAGATTTTGGAATTTTAAAATCGAAATAATATAATTACTTGGCGAGCAAGCGTGATCTGCAAGTGAAAGACCGGTACCAGCGCTGCCAGCATTTCCGGCTGCGCCACTGGCACGTGTCAAATCTGGTCCACCGCTGCAAAGATGATAGATGGCTTTAGCAGTGGGACCAGCAGCAAGGCAAGCAGCTGCAGCTGCTCTTGTAGGATCTGGATTTGTTTTTTAATTTTTTATTGGTGCATTTTGGTGTGATTGGATTATGAATAAAAATAAGAACAAAAAAAAGACATTGTTGGAACAATATGCATTATTATTAGTCATTAGATAATGTCGAACAAATAATTTTTTTTTTACATTTCAACAATCATTAAGAGTAGGTTCAATTTGTTCTACGTGAAAGGGTGAATAAACGAAAAAACTCCGTAAAAACTAATGAAAGCCATGCTAGGGGTGTGAAGTCTTTTACGGAAATGTATTTAAATATTATCCAACAACTTTGCTAATTGATACTAAAGATTCTGATATGTTATAAGGATAATAGTCAATATATAAGGTTAGGAGATGATACAGGAGGTTAAATAATATTAATAAACAAATTATCAACAACAAAAAAATTCATATAAATTAAACGAGCATTGATTTTTTTTCAAATGGAAACAAACATACCATCGGCTAGGGCTCCAAGCGGCCAAACCAAATCTATAGTAATTTAAATTTGTTTGTATATGATATACACAGAAAAAAGCATACGAATATGATCATGAGAAAAGCATATTTTTCAGACATTTTTTTTTGATTAAAAAAATGAATCTTACCTGTAGTTCGGCCACCACGTGGAACATTATTGGGCATCATAACTTCTTTTGGTTGTGCTTTTTTACATTCAACCTTTATCAATCAATGAGATTGAAATAATTGTTAAATTAGTAAAAAAACAAACAAAAAATTAATAATGAAATAAAATGAGCGAATTTTACTAACCATTTTATTATTGATTTCATGAAAATGTACTTCACAAACTTTGTCGACAACATCTTCACTTTCGAATGTGACAAAACCGAATCCTTAATTTTTTCAAGAATAAAAAAAACATCAATTAGTATATAGCATAGGTAAACATGAATGAGTAAATTTTCAAGACTTTTTCTCTGCCAAAAACATTACTTTTGAACATGAAATGTGTGAAAATAAATGAATTGAAATCAATAAATAATGATCGATCAGATAGATCCGACATCATCATCATTATCATTTTTTTTCAAATCTGTGATACAAGATTTGACTACTTTTTCAAAATTACAAGTGCTCATCTTTTAATGTTCCGTCGTCGGGAATGTTAATGTCATATCATCATCATTTCAAGTCTTGTTTCTTGTCTCAAATCGACATACTAATGACATGTACACTGTAAATTTTATATAACATTTATAGTGTGAGAGTGATAGAGAGAGAAAGAAAAGAAATAAGCAGAAAAAATTCAACAGAATTCAAAATTACTTTTTTGTCGTGTTTTTTTTTCTTTCATTTTCATTTCTCAAGGTAGTGGTAGGAATAAAATAATGAAAATAATAATGGTAAATTTTGCAGTGAAATTCGATTAGAGGCAATTTGTTGTTTTTGTTGTTGTTTTTCTATAATGCAATTGTTATGTTGTTTAAGCTATTTTCAAGGGAAATGATGATGACGACGATGATGGAAAAAAGTCAGTATTTTATATATAATCACCTATAAATGTAAAGATGTCGGATGTTAGTAAAAATGGTAATATTGGTAAAAAATCGAGTGAAAAAAAAGAAATTCGTTACAAATTAACATTTTATTTCATTATCCATTCAAAGCGTCATCAACCATCAAAACCATAAAAACGATACAACAAAAATAATACGATGGCGACACACGACAAGAAAAACCTCATTCGATAATTCTTTCTAATCAGAATCTAAAACGAAAGAGGAAAAGAAACTCAAAATATTGCAACAACGGTTACAAAAAGAATTCGTCAAAGAAAATTTCTTTTTCTATTCAAATCAAAATGTGAAGCTGAAAACTTTTCATTTTCTTTTGATTCGGCTACAAAAAAAAATAAAATAAAATTTGATTACCGATTTCTCACATACACACAAACAGACACAAGCCAGAATCATTCGACGAATCTAATTCAATTCATTTTTTCCATTCAAGCGAGCAAAATTCTTTTCCATCTTCATTAAATTCTTTCAACTATTGAAAAAACTAAACAAAAAAAAAATGCCAGGCAGTGAAGCCAACTTTGCAGGGACGACAAAAAAAATTATGGCTCATATAATACATGGACACATTAAATCAACGCTTAGAAATCGATGTCAATTGAAGCAAAAAGAAAAAAAAATTGAATTAAATCGTTTTCGGCTTGTTTGATTTTATCAATTATTCCTTTTTATTTCATTCATATAATGTCTTTCATTAATTTTTTGTCATCGTTTGATGTCTTTTTTTTGATTTAGGCACATAAAAACAACAGCGTATAATGATAATGATTTATTAATGAAATTAAATTAGCAAACAGACAAAACGATATATTGAAAAAAATATGATGATAATGTAATTATATAATGATGAGATATTTATCTACACACACACAGAGTAAAACTAAACAAGAAAAAATTGCAAATTCAAAAATAGAAGTCTGCTATGAATCTGCTGAAAAAACAAAAGAAGAAAATTCAAAAAAAATGATAATCATAGCATAACAATCATGAATGGTAGATCATCATTATCAAGATATGTGATTGTTGTTGACATTTCATATTCGTTCCAACAACAGCATGTAGACAGAATTTTATCACTTTAATCCACAACCAAGAAAAATACATAAACAGCAGAACAAACGATATTTTTTAAATGCATTTTTCCAAGAAATCATTGCTTGCCAACACAAACACACATGCATGGAATAAAGTTTAATGGCTTGATTCATTTGAATTTACCATTCACCACTCTCTCATTCGTTACCATTACCATTTATCGTAAAAATACAGACAAAGACAACGACAATAATACAAACATATTAATCTTGTCGGCAATCTTAACAACTTCCAGCAATAATAATAATAATAATAACAATCAGCAAATGAAAACTAAAAAAAAATCCAATATGAATGCGTTCAAATTTTGTTTTGGCATATTAACGATTGCAGGAAAAAATCGTCAAAAAAATTTCACCTACCTCTATGACGATTGGTCTGTTTGTCGAACATTAACATGGCATCTTCAATCTACAATTGTGAAACAAGCAAATAAAAAAAACGAGAAAAAAATAGATATTAGTGATGAATGAAATCACCAAACACAATGATTAAAAGCAAAGATAAATAACAAAAACAACATTTAAAACATTGAATGATAATTTCATATGATATCTCCAGGGTGTGTTCGGAATAACAGTCCTTACAACAAGGTTGTTGCATTTTGTTTTTTTTCGTTTCTCTTCACATTAGTGAATGATTAATTTTAATACAAATACCGATTAATTAGTTAAAATTATGGAAAAATAAAGAATAAAATGTATCTTTGTGTATAGTTGATCAATTTATTTATTTTAACATTTTCATTGTTGTTAGTATTTGATATTTCAAATTCTATGATTATTAGTAAAGCGGATTATAAATAAACACAACAGCAGCGGCAACACTTTAATTAGATCAAAATGGAAATGAATTTTATTTTTATTTCATTCGAATTTTAAAAAGAAAATAAAAATTTGATTTCGTTCTAATTATAACAATATTTGAAAACAATGTCAACCAAAATAAGAGAAAAGACAATGAAAATCGATTTTTTTTTTCATTTTGAAAAGAATAAAGAATATTGTAATGATAGAGAATAGAATGGAGAAAAAAATGAATAAAATAAAATCAATAATATATTGAAACAAACAAACAAAAAAATAAGTGAAATGAAATGTTTGGGCTGGCGAAAGGAAAATCATATTAGAAATAAAATTGAAAATGGGAAATGGATCGTACCCGAAACAACAAAAAACAAACTAGACGCGATTCATAGTTTGTGTGTAAAGCGACAAAAAAAAAGAAAAGAAATTGGGATAACTATATGTATTTGTGAAATATAAATGTTATAAGATTCTAGTGACAAGATTTTTATCTTGAACTAGAAAAGCAAAATTTTGGTTGGCATTGAAAAGAAATGGCGAGAAAGAGAGGGAAAAATGGGAAACACCAATGGGCGACAGCCAAAAAAAAAAAGAAGAAATGAGTGAAACTTGAATGTGTTTCCCTTGTAAACATCGAAATAGGAAAAAAAGATGATGGCTGCAAAATGAAATATAGGGGCATCATATATTTTCCCGTTTCGTTTTGAATCTGTATCCGCATACAACGGCTGTGTTGTGTTATTTTATATAAATAACAAAACGGACAGGCTTGGGGTAAATGGCACAATTTGAATCGACAACAACAACCAAAAAAGTACCATTTTTTTCTGGATTCGAAAATTGTTGTGAAGAAACAAAAAAAAACGTAATTGAATGAAATGGAACATTCAGTTGCGTAAATGTGAATTGAAAAATCAGAAAAAACACAAACAACAAGGACAGGGTTACACACACAATGGCTAATATGAAAAAAAGTGAAATGAAAATCGAAAAAAAAACTTACCCGGCCAAATTGTTGAAAATAGTTTTTGACGTCGTCAATGGTGGTTGGCGCTGATAGACCACCAACAAATACTTTTTTCGTTCGTGTTACCATTTTTGGATGTGCTCGTTTAGGGAAGGCAATTTTGGGGTCGATCTATCACAGACACACACACACACAATAATAATGCACAAAAAAAACATCACAAATTGCATTTGGTGAACAAAGAAGAAAAAACACATTTGGCACACACAAACACGAACAAAGTTCCAGAACAAATATTATTTTTTTCGATGAAAAAAATGTGAAGAGAAATAACGATAAGAAATAAAAACGGAATTTTTTTCAATACACAAATAATAAATGACGATTGTAAGATTGAGCACCGATTTACGAATAAGTATCGATAGTATCGATGATGATGATGATGATGATCAAAATAATTGTTGATGACGTTAATAATAATTTTATTATTATTATTGAAGAAATTGGAAATAACAAAAAAAAGAAAACAAAAAAACGATGATCATCATTGTAAATTATTGAGGGAGAGTAACAAAAAATACAAACCTTTTTGCCATCCAATTCATGTGGTCCATTCATCAGTACTTTGTCGACACTAGACGAATCGGCAAATGTTACGAAACCAAAACCACTGTTTGTTGTTAAGATTGAGGATATTGATGAAAGAAATTAAAAAAAAAACATTGATATAAATATAACGTATACATATAATATATATTATTTGATAGGTCTGGATCATCATAATCATCATAATTATCATAATCATTGGTTATTATTGAAACGATGTAAGATAGAAATGGACAAAAAAAAGTAGGAAATTGACGAACAGAAACACAGATTATGATGTAATAGGAAACGATTGCATAAAAGCGGGAAAGTGGAAAAAATAGACAAACAATAAAACGGTCATGTCTTATGTGGTGTCCGGATGGTAGCCAACAGAGACAGAAAAAGAAAGAACAAGAAAAAAATCACACTGAAAGGCTAGTGATGATGATGATTTTTTGTTTTCTTATTCTAATTTGAAAGACACAACGAAAATTCTAGAATCCAAAAACAAAAAATATCTAATAAATTCAATTTGGATGAACTCTTTTCAAGATGAAACACAAAACAAAACAAAATTTTCCTTGGTGTTGATGTTGCAAACCATTATCATCATCATCTATAGCCATAAACACTTTTTGTACAATTTTGAAAGAATAATGTTTGTTTGTTTGTTTTTGGAATCTTTTAAGAAGTACTTAATCCTTTTTTTTCTTGGTAATATATTGTATACTTGAGAAATATTTTCTGCAGAATCAAAAAAAAAATTCCTTTTTTTGTGTTTATGAAGAATTCATTGTTAAAGGAAGGAAATCGACCATTATTTATCATACACACAAACAATGATAGAGTTAGCCAGAAAAAAAGTCAAGAATTTCTCATTTTTTTCCACTTTGAGTGTATGGATTTTAGAGTTTTATTTTCAGAAAAGAAAAGAATAATTTTTCCATTGCTTCACTGAATTATCATGGTTACACATATATTCAGATTGAGAAATAAGAAATGAGTACCAAAAAAAAAGATAGTAAGATATTATCCATCGTCTTTTCGTTTATCAATGTGCATGTGTATATTGATAATAATATCTTTTTTGTTGAAAATTCTAACAGAATGAAATATGAGAATAACAACAACAACAACAGCGACAAAGCAGAGAATTTTCTTTGTGTTATATTTTAAAAACGATATAATAATAATCATTATTAATAATATAATTCAAGATAATAAAAAATCTAATCTTTCACATCATTTTACGTATTCTTTAAATTCCTATTGAAAATGTTTTTTAAATAAATAAATTTTTACACTATTTTCATAGCAACATTTTTGCTTCCTGTCTGTATATTCTGAGAATGTATTTTCAATCATAAATGAAGTTCTTGGAAATAAATCAATTTGATTTAACATTCATTATTCATTAACAAAAATTTCATTCATATTGTTTGTTATCGTCAAAAATCAGCTATTCTCAACATCATCATCATCATTGAACATTTAGGCTACCAAGAAACAAAAACAATAACAATGACCAAAAACAAATAAATCCAATCAAACAAAATGAAAACGAATGGCTGACTAACAGAGAATAGAAAGAATCTATTCAATGAATGTTTGGATAATTTTTTTTCCCTGTATAGACAAGAAAACCAGAGATTTTTTTCTTGTTCAAGAAGAGAAAAGAAAAAACAAACTGAAATGCTGATGACAATAAAGTTGTGGAATAAGTGTTTGAGTAAACAAAAAATAAAGAAGCAAAAGAATATATGAAAAAACGGACTTTCAATAAAATGAATGAAAAGATCAGTACAGGGATTCATTTGATCATCACTGACATGCAAAACACATAAAATAAGAGAGGAAATAGGCGAGAGAGAGAGAGAGAAAGACAACAAATACAGACAAACAAACAAAAACATGAATAGAATAGATCAAATTTGATCAATATTTAAATATTTTTTTTTTCTTCTTTTTTTTATTATCCGACGTTGTTTGTTTGTTTATGCATTCTTGGCGTAATGTGATGCCTGATGCATTTTAGTAGCATTCACTGCATACACATTCTATTATCATTGTCATCAGTTTATCTCAGTTATCCAAACAATCGATCGATCGATTGAACCCCAAGTTGAACACGGTCGATGAAAAATATTCAAAGTTAGCATTTTTTCTGTGCAAAGTGAAAAAAAAATCGTGATAATCATCATCAAAAACGAATAGAATCTCATAACATTAAAATAAAAGGTAGAATTTGGTTTGAATTGAAAAAAAACACAATTCGGCCACTTTGAATGATTTTCGATTGTTTGAAATGGAATATTTTTTTGTTTTGTTTTTTCTCGTTGTAGAAAAAAATCAATTTGTGTAAAAGTATTTGCTCACTTATTTTTACTTGTTTTATTCACAGAATACACATACTTTTTTCAAATGAAAACACACATTCACACAGACACATAGATATAGCACAAAACATCAAAAACATTCAATCAATCAATTCACTGGTAAACAATTCGTATCGTTTGTTTTTTTTCTAATTCTATAAATGGCTCTAACCAGTGAATAAACGAAAAAAAAGAGACAGAGAAAAGGAAAGGAGATAGAATTTGATGAAAAAAATTGAAGACAAAAATTACTTACCGAGATCTCCGCGTTGTCGGATCTTTCATTACCATCACTTCGGTTATATCACCAAATTTGCTAAAATATTCCCGAAGACCTTCTACAAGAGTAATGAAAATTATATATAAAAAAAGAAAAAAAAATGAATTAAAAATTTAATAATCAATAAAAATGGTTGAACATTTTTTGAATGGAGAAAAAAATTACAAGTATTCAATGAGAAAAAAAAACAGAAAATTGTTCGGTGGTCATGTGGTGGATTTCATTCTTTTTTTTTCACTAAAAAAATTACATTCATTCGATCGATCCATTTGCAGCTCATAAATAAAATAATGAAAAAAACCCGAACTCGAATATATGAAAAATATGAAAATTTTCAATTTTCAATTTGCGTGTTCTATTCGTGTTTGTGTTTGTATTTGTGTGTGTGTGTATGCGTTTTCGACGGAATATTCTAAACTTTTTTCCTTTAAAAAAAAATTATCATCATGGAAAAAAGGGCCGAAATGAAATTCGGAAAAGACAAAAAAAAACTTTTCTTCAGTAATATTTATTTGCACACAGATAAAATGAATGAGTGTGTGAAAGAGAGAGATGGAAGAAAAAAAAGGAAAATTGACGACATGAACCCTAGAATATGAGTTTGGCACTTTTTATCTATATATCTTTACCGATATGATAATGACAATTGTGATGATGATGATGATGAAAAAACAAGCAGCTAAAAAAATTGTAGTTGAGAATACGTCAAATGACGTGAATTTTGAACAAAAAATGCAATGGAAAATAATTTGCAAAAAAAAAGGAAGAAACTGAATAGAATCGACCGGGAATGAATTTTTTTTTCTTCTCTGTAACAGATGTTCATTGTCCGAAAAAAAAAAGAGAGAGAGAGAGAGAGAGAGAGAGAGAGAGAGAGAGTGAGAGAGTATCAAACAATAAAAAAGTATGTCGACCAGGAAACAACAATGAATTTTATCAAATATTGGTTGAACAACTTTTGCAATGAAGAATACTCCAACAACAANGCGAGAGAGAGAGAGAGAGAGAGAGAGAGAGAGAGAGAGTGAGAGAGTATCAAACAATAAAAAAGTATGTCGACCAGGAAACAACAATGAATTTTATCAAATATTGGTTGAACAACTTTTGCAATGAAGAATACTCCAGCAACAACAACAAAAAAAAACTATCAGTTGACAATATTTTTTTCAACACAATGATTTCTAATATCAAACAAAACGAAACAACAAAAAAAAATTGAAAAGTGAATTTAGATTGGATGTAGAAAAAAAAATGAAAATCGGCCCGGCCCAGTAATCAAAGTCAACTTTTTCTTTCATCATTCATTCCAGAATCATCATCAGGATTAGTTGATTTTTTTTTTTTTTTTGGTTTGGAAATTCAGTCGCACCCATCTTCATTCATTGATAGAATCAAAATGAATCAATATGAATAGTGTGTGTGTGTGAGTGCTTTATTGAAAAAATTTTCAAATTGGCTTTTTTTTGTCGTTGATCAAACAAATCTCAGAACCATAGGATCGATAATCAAAAAAATGTGCATGGTTTGAATGAGAAAAAACATTTTTCAGTCTGTCTGGTGTTTTGTCTGCCTCAAAAATGGACAATTCAAAAAAAAAAGAATGACCAATTCAATCTACGATGTTGACATGTAATTAAATCTATCTGACAACAGCAAATGAATGTTTCAATGGAAAAAAGGCAATCGAAAAAAAAGGGAAATTGAGAATTTTGAACTTCAATGATCAAAAAAAAAAAAAAAAAAACAGAGAGACAAAAGCAAATTCAATTGACAACAACAACAACAAAACGGCAAAAATCGAATGAAAATTTTTCGAAATGAAAAAAAAACTTCAACTGTAGAATGTATAAAAATTGAAGAATGAAAGAATCGTATAACTGAATGAAAAAAACAAGAAAAAAATGAATGCCAAATCAGGCGTAAAAAGCTGAATTGAAGAAAAAAAAGAAAAGAAAATGCAATCCTAAAGTGTCAGTTCAATTTTGCAATAGAGGTATTTTTTCTTTTACGTGTCTAAATAATTGATGGCCTTGGTGACCAAAAAGAAAGTAAAAAAAAAATTCTTTCAAATAAAGACAGTTGAATTGATGATGAAAAATTTGTGAATTCATCGTCATGTCTGGTATAGCTTTTGGATGCTGTTTGTGTTAAGATGAAATACAATATTTTGGCACGTACTTTGCCGTTGTATTCAACAACAATAACTATAGGCAATCAAACAGATTATTTTGTTTTCCAGAAAAACTTGTTCAACTTTTTTGTTGTGTTTTTTTTTGTATCCTATATATATCATTTTGCAATGAAATGGAATAGAAATTCATTCTTGTTACGAATAAAACGAAGTTAAATAATTCATGTCCGGAAAAAAACAACGAAAAGCAAAATAGTTGTTGCAATAAACAGATAAAAGCATTGTGAAATGTTGTTCATCAATTTTGTTTATCATATCATACAAGTCCTAAGAATTTTTTTTTGGAGAAAAATTCCGGAAATAGAATTTATTTAGTTTTGTCTTGAAAAAGAGCAATAGAAAAAAAGTAGAAAGAAACTGACAAGCATTGAATTCGAAAGAACAAAATTTTAAGAAAATGAAAATTCCATTCTTCAAATTCAAATTTCAAATTTAGATTGAGCAAAGATGGTATTTTGTGAGTGGAAAATCAAGAAACAAAACAAAACTTTATGTTTGAATGTAATAAGTCACTGGAGAATTGTGACCGGTACAAGCTTCATTGCCATTATCATCACATAACATCACTTTGAGAAAGTAAAGTAAAAAAAAAGAGGAATAATTCCGGATTACAGTATGGGCAATAAAAGTTGCGAAAAAAAAGTGCCAGAATAAATGAATGAGAACTGAAAGAAGAATAAAAATAAAAATCTTAGAGATCATTCCACTGTAATAAGAAGTGTAATATCTCTCTCTCTCTCACACACACACACTTATGTAACCACAAATAAGAAGCCGAGTCAACAACGAGCACCTAAATACATCGACATCAACAATCGTAAACGTATATGGATAATAAATAAAATAAATTAATTTAAATAAATTATTAAAAACATCATCACTATTAAAAAAAATCGGTGACTATTCATTCAATGTTTTTCATTTCACACAGCAGTATATGGTCATACACAGCTATAACTATTAAAATCAGCAGCGACAAAACACAAAAATGATGATAATAATAATAATGACAATAGGATTTTTTCTTTTTGAAGAATGAAAAACAAGGAAAAAAGTTTTTTTTTCGAAAAACATGTTTTGGGACAAATGATAGTGGTGATAATAATAAAAATAATAGTATTTATTAATGAGATTCTTTCTGGTTTTAGTTTGTTCTATTTGGATTTTTTTTTCTTTTAACAGTCAGTCATTCAGTTATATTATGAAACATTACATTCAAAATTGACAAATTTTTTTTTTGGTTTCATTCAACTTGAAATCATAAAATCAACATAAAAAAGAATTTTTCAATGAATTTATATTGAACGTGATTTTCCAAAGAATATTGAAAAAAAACAAATTTGTCTACAAACATTCAGTCATTTACGGTAAATATTTTGTTGTTTTTGTTGTCGAAAAAGTTTAGAAAATAAACTGTCAATTTCAAACGAACCTATGACCTATTATTTTATATTGCTTTTTTGTTGTTTCGGAAAGTGTCATCATCATCAAAATTGATGATGATAATGATAATGATGAGGATAAAACTATTAGATTTTTAATGTTTTTAGAAACTGTAAAAAGATAGTGAAAGGAAAAAAGGTCAATTTAAAAAAAAAGTTTTTCAGATTCTGAATTCTGAGTTTTTTATGTACAGCAAAAATAGATTATTTTAGTTACTGCTGGATGTATGTGCTTTGCGGATAATATATCGATGATTCCATTGAATCATATATGAGATTTTTTTTTATTGGTTCCAAATAACGAAAATTGAAAGATCAAAAATCATTTTGAAATTTCAAAAATCAATTTCAAGAAAAAATTTTAATGCAACATCAAAATCGTTATTAGAAGGGAAAAAAATTTTTCAAAAACATCAGTAAAGAAATTGAACAGAAAGACTCTGCGTAAAGCAAATATTAGATTCGAATCTGTTTTTTTCCGGAGGTTATCGTTTCGTGAGAATGTCTATGTACTCAGAAACCGGCTAAATTTTTCTGCAAACCAGAATCAAACTCATGTAAAAATAAATGAAAAAAATAATTCTTATGTAAATACCATCGCATATGAAATAATTGATTTTTAAAGTAGGCAAAAAGTAATTAATACTTGTTTTATATTGCAGAAAAAAAGAATACAAAGAAAAAACTCATTTGATTCAGCAATCAAACACTAATGATTGTCATTATCCTATATACATCAGAGTTTTTGTTTTATTTTCTTGATGAAAAAGTTCAAAACAAACAAATTTGATAACTTTTTCTTTTTCCATGAATATTTGTTTCATTTTCAAATATAATCTAAATGCTTATTTCGGTTAAAAATGATAATAATGATTATGTATGTTTTTTTTCACTGTTTCAATATGTAATTCAGAATTTCAACAACAACAAAAAACAATTCAATGTATCCACACCAAACACATAAACATTTAATGAATAATCATTATTACCTTTTATAATACAAAAACAATATAAAATTGGGAGTCGAAATGGATTTATCCATTCTCTTTTTTTCCTCACTCATCAATTCGACAATTTAGACCTATTTTCGTATGATTGTACAGAATGAAAAAAAAACTTACGGTCAAATTATGTCAAGAATTATACGGAAAAATACACTGAATAAAAGTCAATGAAATAATTAAATGGTTTGTCATCTTCGCTATTCTCATCATCATCATCATTATCATTATTATGATCATCATCATGACAATTACAAAATTTAATGAACAGAGTAGAAAATTAAAAAAAAAAGTTTTACAAATAGTTGTAATTACGTATCACGCTACCAACGGTCAATTGGTCAAACAAAACAAAACAAAAATCAAATTTAACTTGACGTCATCCACCATTAATCAGATGATAATTAAGCGAAAAAAAAACCATTTATAATTATCGGAAATCAAGAAAGATAAAAACAACATACAATAAAGATACATAAACAGACCACTACAAATGCAAAAGCAAAGAATTGTCATTGCATGTTTAGTATGGAAATTCATTCATTACAAATAAGCGTGTACATTTTATAGCTATGATGAGTTTTATGATTGAGATTCAGATTTGATTCGATTTGATTTATATTCAAAAATGCATTTAAATCATCCAACCAGAGTAAAATGAACACTAAAAGGAAAGAATTGAAATAAATAAATAAATCTTTTTCACTTTTTCTTTACATTTTTTTTTTCGTTTGTTTTATTCCAAAATATTATATGCCATAACAATACAAAACGAAAACTAACAAAAAAAATATTCTGAATGTATGAATGGCTTGAAAAAGAAAAAAATTGTCAAGTCAATCTCATATAATATCTTCGTCGTGTGGACATTCATGATGATGAAAAGATTTTTTGTCTTCTCTTTTTTTTGTTGTATTTTTCATTTCATTTATGAGCTTGTCATCATCATTTATGTTTTGCATTCGTACTTTGTGTGCGTGTGTGTGTGTGTGTGTGATAATAAATCATCGAATTCATCATCGTAATAATATAAATTTTTGACATTTTTTTCCTGTTGAAAAAAACGACAAAGACGAATTTTCATTTTGTATTTTCAATCATTCCATCAGTTTTGATTTCAATTTTAAATTCATTTTTTATTCTTATTTTATTTTCCGTCGGAATGTGATGTATTGAAATTGAAAAAATCAAAAAAAAAACCAAATGATTGAAAATTCATTTGGAATAAAGAAAGAGAGAGAGCGAGAGAGCAAAAAAATTCAAATTGATTGCTAACTATTGCCAGATGACAATGAGACAAAGCTTTTGAACAAATGAATTCTATCGTCATCATTATTATCATCATCATCAACGACAACAACAACAACATTATCATTCCTGTGGTTTTTTTTTATCGCTGGCCAAGCATCATTGAACTGGGTAACTTTTTTGAAAATAGGAAAACTATAGGATTTGCAAAAATAAAAAGTTTCATTCAAAAGTCGACAGCAACAACATCAATAAAAAAAGTTTACAATAAAAAAAATTATATAATAAAAGAGATAGGAAAAAATGAAGATGAATAGGAAGTTAAATGATAGAATATTAGAAGTCAATTGAATGTGAATAGGATTTTTTCACATGATGAGAAATGATAGTAGTGGTGATGGTGATGGAAGAAATTGTCTTTTAGGTTTGGGGTATATATGTTTGTATATAACCGAACAGAATTTAACACAAAAAATAGGGAGATCCATTTTTGAAAGAACTTTTAGTCTACTATTCAAATCCATGCGACCAAAGAGAGAGAGAGAGAGAGAGAGAGAGACAGTAAAATAAAAACATTGAAATCAACAATAACAGAATGGCAGAAATAATAATATTAAAAAAAACTAAATTCGTGTGTTGAATAAATAATTCAACTTTGAACAAATGAAACACACATACAAACACGCAGAAATTATCGAGTGAAATAGAAAGATCCATTCTATTTCAGTCAGAATTTCATTTGTTCCATAGCTTGGTTACGTTCCGTTTCGTTCCGTTCCGTTTGGTTAGCTAGCCAGCCAGCCAGCCAACCAGCATGAATAACAAATATACAAATGAATAGAATCTAGAATTATGAAAAGCAATGAAAAAAGAGAGATGGAAAAGCAGATTCACACACACTCAACATGTAAAGGACAGACAAAATCATCAACAAAGTCGATATAGGCAACATCATTTCATTTTTCTTTTCATTTTGATTGTTTTATTTTGATCATTTCACAATTCATTCATTAGACTTAAAAAAACCGATGAAGAAAAAACATAGAATGTGAAAGATTCATCTAGAAAATTCATTTGTCGATTCAAAAATAACGACATCCAAAAAAAAAGTAAAATTGGCTAAAATATAAAGGATGAAAAAATCGATTTTCATCAAAAATGCATCTCGTTTGAAAAAAAAGAAGCAACCAACACCAAGATACAGAGGGAAATTTGAGGACCAAAGAAAATAAAGCAACAACAAACTTATCGACCGATTAGAAACGAAGAACAAAAAAAAAACTATTATAAAGGAAATAGGAAATTCGGCCTGTATAATATGAAATGAATGTTTAAAAATGAGGCCTTCTCTTTGGATCAATGGTCTTGATATTTTCACTATTTATTCCAACACCAGTAATAACAATAATAACAACAACAAGGGACTTTGTTCTCACCATTCATTCGCTATATTTTTTTTTTGGATCAATTCAAATGTTGTTCAAGAGATAATATTTCATAGTATGTTTTTGGTATATATAATAATAATAATAACAACAACAATTGATTATATGAAGAGTATTTTTTTTTAAAAAAAAGCAAAAGCTTAAGCTAGCTTTGTATATCGAATTAAAGACGAAGCGAAAAAGTTTTGTCTTTTCGATATGAACCAAAAAAAAAGTTTTTTTCTTGCTTCAAGAATGCACACATTGGACTCATCTGAAACACCAGATGAGGCACACATCAAATATCATTGTAATTTTTCCAATATCTCTATAACTAAATGTATTTGATGTATTGACGATCAACCGATCGAATCGAATCAAATCAAATCAAATCAAGGAAAATCCGGGTCAACACTATCTTCTATTCGATGCTATACTTGTAAAAAAATGAAACAGAGGAAAAAAATGAAAGAAAATAAACAAAGTAGAAATATTAGATAAGACAACAACCAACAGTAACAATGTGTAAAAACTATACTGATAATCAATGAAATTGACAATCTAATCTTGTCATTCAAACATTTTTTTATCATTGACTTAAGAAATTGATAGAAGTGAACAAAAAAGAATCGAATGACATTTCGCAACAGCATAGATATTTTCAAAAAAAAAAATTTCAATAATAAGATCCATGCTAGCTTTGTTCAACAACTTATGAAATGATTATAAGAAAAAGGTGAAATTTTTGAAAAATTTTATTTGGTAATTGAAAATAATGATGAAATCTAAAAGTAATAAAAAACTTGGAAAGAAAATTACACCGGAAAAAATTGTGTTAATAGAACTTAACCGTCAACGACAGAAAATAGCAAAAATACTAAAAGTGTTAATTTTTATTCATGTGTAAATGATCAATGTGAAACATTTACCCGAAAAAAGTTTGAAAAAATAAAACTTTCGATGTGTGTATGTGTGATAGACATGCATGTTCGAAAAAATGAGTAAAAAGTGAAAGAATATTCTTGACTTGTTTCGTGAAAAAAATTGAATTTGTTTTTGTTGAAACATGTTATAGTAAACGATCGACCATAAAATAAAGTACCTTATAAGTTTTTTTTTGTTGATATAATTAATGATCTCTTATTCTTTTTTCGATGTTTGAATTGAACTGAAAACAAGTCAAAATATCCATTGAGTATTCATTAGGCCTTAACTACATATAAGCAAAACAGGATTTTTTTTGTTCTTGATTTCAATAAATTGAAACCATTGCTTATTTTTCCAATAGAAATGTATGATGAAACATAGTTGGAACGAATTTTGGGCTAAGAATCATTGCCACAATGTCATTAAAAACTGACTAAGGCCTAAATCAGTTTTCTAAAACTAGAAATCATTGATTATTCGCTATTTTAAAAACTATAATCATCATCATGAGATATCTTCATAGAATGTTGTTGTTGTTGATGTTGATCTTTTCAACTTTGAATGTAAAACATGTTCGGTAATGAATAAAAAGACAAACAATCAACCATGGAACATAGAATGAATGAATGAATCAGAAAAAATTTCCAACAAACGACAATTGAAAGAATGAAAAAAGAGAGCTTGTTTTGGGGCTAATGAAAACTTTGTCCATGTTTCATTTCATCCTCTTATTTGCTGTACACTATGTTTGTTTTTGTTTGTTTGCTTGTGTGATTGATGTTGGAATCAAGGAAATTCGAGAGTAATATTGGAGACATTGGTACATGTAATTTTTTTTCCTTCACTATGAACAGCATTGAATGATTGTACTACGAATGTTTTCAATCTTATTCCACTAAATGATAAAATAATAATAATGATGATGATGAAGATCGTTAGTAGCAGAAGCAAAAACGGAACAAGAATTCTTTTTTTTCCATACTGTGTTTGTTTGCTTTAAGTTTCTTTGAATTGTTATTGCCTCTACTTATCCGCGAAACCAATTTCTTCATATGTGTCTGGTATCTAACTTTTTACCAACTATAACACTTGTATTTAAGTAATTCAAATAAGAATTCCAAAAACAAAAATTGAAATAAAGACCAGATTCTGTATGAATCAAACAAAAACAAAATGATTATACTTGTTGTTGTTGATTTCAACTTTTCATTTGTCTGTTTATCTGTTCTGATTGAATAACATTTCCTTTCTTTTTAGTGTGTTGCATTTATATGAAAATAATGATCATTATAGAAATTGATTTAAAGTGAAAAAGATGTAAACCAATGAGATAAAAAAAGGGGTAGACAAAAATAACCGAAAATGTTCACAGAAAAAAAGATCCAAACACTTACCAGGCGCTGTTTGCCAACTAAGTCCACCGATAAACATTTTCCTATGTAGAAAAAAAAGAGAAAAAATGAAAATGATTATTTTTTAGTAAATTTCTAAGCCAATAATTTTCAATTAAAATATTATTATTTGTCGTCAATTCACAAGAATAAATGTTAATACAATCATTTATTGATTTCATTAGAAAATTCTTTCTTTTGTCGAAAAGTGTCGATCTAAATCAGCTGTGTGTGTGTGTGTCTGTGTTCGTTTCATTTTATTCCAACAACCAATTGCAGTAGATTATATCATGCGTAAGAAGATTGGGTCTTTTTCATTATCAGAAAGAGAAAGATAGAAAAACAGAACGAGATATATGAAGATGAAATTGAGAAAAATATCCTTTGGGATCTCAGATTACTTTCACATTATTAGTGTTGTTTGGTATTGTTGTTGTTTTTTTTTGCTAGTACCAAATGAGTGAAACTAATACTTTACTATTCTTTTATTCTTTATTGCTAACTATCCTACACACAAACACATGCCAAAGGAAACAAGATCCAAAAGTTTTGAAAACTTTCGGCACCATTTGGAATGAAAGAAAAAACCAAAATCCAAACATGTCTGGTTAAGTTAGAAAAAATGAATTTCAAATTCATTTATTTATTTCTACTTTTTATTGTCTGTTAGTGATGATGATGATGATAATAAGTAACAATTGATGAATAAAGATGAACATTGGAACAGACAAATTGAAACTTTGAATTCAAGTTTCAATTTCATCCACATCATAATAATCGACAAAGCCAAAAAAATGATATTTTTTTCATCTAAAATTTATGCGTGGGTATGTAGTGGTGATGTTTTTTTCCTATTTTTCTTTCGAAATTCATGAATTTTTTCTCCATTTACACGAGGAATCTTAAATTATTTTTTCTTTCAATATATTGAATTGATCAATTTCAAATAAATTTCTTAATTGACAATTTTTTTCCTTTATTGCTGAATTTATTACAAACATCTTAATAAAAATTATCTCATCAATATTATAATAAGAAAAAAAATGAAAAATAGATAAGCCAAGTGTGGGCAATACAAAATCGATAAAATAAAATGAAAAATAATTTTTTCCTTTATGATGATTATATATATTAAAGTCAAACATCAAGACAATATCATCAAGACAATGACATTTTTAATGTTAATCGAAAGAAAAGAAAAAAAAACTTTCTCATTTTCGCATCTTTCTTTATAAACTCAAGTTTTCGGAACTTTATAAACTCGAAAAATACGATAGTTCTTTATACGATAAGAACAAAAAAAAAACAACTAAAAATCGATCGTTAAGAAAGTTCTAGTTCTTTGTTGTCATTGTGTGATTATTAATGTAGTACTTTTGATTCTTAAAATGATGAAAGAAAAAATAAAATTTAAAAAAGAAAAAAAAACGAAATTTCTCTCAACTCATAGATCGGCAAGATAAGTAGAGAATTTCGTCATTATTGTTGTTCATCATCGACAATTGAAGAATTTATATATATAAAAAATTGAACCACTTTCATCGATGATGATGATCCAACAACACAAAAAGATGAGAACAGATAAACAACAGCAACAAAAAACTAAGCAAATACTGAATTCGTTTTCAACAGAAACAAAAAAAAAAGAATTCATTCTGCAACCGATGAAAGCAAACAAACAAAACTTAACATCGATAAGAAGTGTGATTATGGCCAAAAATAAAAGCCAATCATCATTACATTTGAGTGAGAGAGAGAGAGAAAGAGTATATCCTTCTATGACAACACAAAATAAATGGTTGATAATGATTATAATAAAACAACTAAATTTTTTTATTGTATTTCGATATATTTTCTTCACATTTTCCATTTAAATGAAGGAAACAAAAAAAACTTTGTCCACTACTAAATACGATAGATTGAAAATTGATTCGAACAATGAACACTTGCTTCGAAAACTTTTTTTCCACTTCTGGTTACAATGATAAAATATCCATTTGATGATTGGTAATTGTCAAAGATTGAAAGTTTTTAACTTTCAAATACATTTCTGGTTGAAAACTGATATTGATTATAATAATGACAAATAAATGAGACTAGACTAATAACAAAAAAATAATAAAACACCATTCCGAGAAATACAGCGAGGAAAAAAACTTTTCTTCATTTTCACAACTGATCTAAATCTTTGGAATCTATTTTAAAGAAAATTATTTTCTTCATTTCTATTCACCCAGACCGTGACAAGTGACAAGTGGTAAAAATTAATGCAAAAAAAAAGGAAATACACTATAGTCTGGTCTGGATTTTCTCCTACAACATTCGTTTATTTGTTGTTGTTATTGAAGATTAACACAAACATTCTCTTTCTCTCTCTCTTTTTCTATATTTAATGTCATTTTATTTGTTTGCTGTTTTTTGGTTTTTTTCTGGTTGCAAAATCGAATCAATGTTGTTGTCATCATCATCATCATCATTGCTGGCTATAGAAAAAAAATGTTGACAATCAGATAATGTTGATGACTGTGTTTTGATGTCTTACACTGTTTACATCTTCATCGTTTGAATAAAATGAATTTTTTTTCTCGTCCTTAATATTTATATAATAGCCACTAGTTTATTCGATGTATTGCACAACTATAACAAAACAAGACATGACAAAAAGCTACATATGTGTGTGTGTGTTTTGTTATCTTTGATATGAAAAACAAAAATTTGCTTCGTTTTTTTTAAACAGAGAAATCGCTTATCAAAAAAACAAACTACGTAATAATAATAACAAGGAAAAACGATTCACTGATCTATACTTGTCTATTTTATTTTTACATATAACAAAGTTTTGATTTAAACATTAATAGAATCTTTTCTTATCATCATCTTAAAGTAATAAATACATATGATTTTTTAACGCAATAAATTTATGGACAATTTTTCCCGAAGAATAAAAATGGAAATGGAACAAGATAAACATTGTCATATGAATGAATGAATGAATGAAGAAAAATAGTGAAATAGACAATCTAATACTGGTAGCATCGATAGATCGGATAGAATTGATAGCTTGAAGGCGAATGAATCTTTTTTCTTTTCTTTTTTTTTTGTTCGTTCAAAGAAACAAGACATGAAAATGAATGAATAAATAAAATGAATGTGAACAGCAGATAAAAGGGGGTACACCGTCATACATTGAAACAAAATACAAGATGTTTTATCCAGTTCATTATTTTATTTAAAGCAAAGAAAAAAATACTGTAATTTACAATGATGACAACATTGAAGCTAAAAAATATGTTAGACGTAAATGAATATTCTCCATTTCTTTCCCTTCTTTTTTCCCCAGATCTGCGCCAAAAACGAATAATAATAATAAAATAATGATAATAATAATAATGGTTAGAAAACCCGAACACAAAAAAATTGCCGAACCAAACGCGTATTGTGAAAGAATTCGATTAATTTTTTTCTAGTCGGAAGCAAAGAATTCTATAAGAATGTGAAAATTCTTTATGGCAATTTTAGCAGTGTCTTAAAACCCAGAAGCAATGACACATACACACACTCACACAGACAATAGATAGAGAAAAAACGGAAGCTAAAAAGCGAACAACGATTCATTTCCAAAGAAATAAATGAGAAAAAAGTATATTACATCTAACATTATTGCTGAAAAACGTTACATGTCATAGCTTGAAGCATTTCAATTTTTAGTTTCGCTGCTTCGTTTATTCATTTTCTTGTACGAGTTGTTAGTTATTTTCTGCTTCTTTTCTTGTTTACTAAATTTTCAATATAGATAAATTGATGAGATACACATTATGTGTGGGTGTGTGAAATTTTCTTTCAAACATAATGCTCTGATTGAGAAGAATCGACATAGGTACTTTATGTTTATTCAGAAGAAAATGAAAAGATTCTAATTAAATTTTCAATGTCTGCCGTATTTTCGTTTTCAGACAAAAAGTTTTTATTTTCTCAATTATACAATGTGAATTTGACTTGAAAATCTATTCAACCAATTGCACCTAAAATCAATATAAATGTTGAAAATATAAGAAAAAATCAATTATAAAGATAACAATTTGTTCATTTAAAAAGGTGAAAAACTTATCAAAATGTATGTGTGAAAAATTTAATTCAAGTGTTTCTTATGAAAAAAGACTGAATCTAATTAAATTCAATCTATCACATCAATCAATCGAACATGTTTAGCGAATGTAGTAAAATGAATTGTTGCAAAATAGTGATCAAGAACATTAAATGTCAAAAATAAATAAACATTTTCTTCGCATTTTGTTTGAGTAGATAACGGATTATTTGCTTTTTCATTTCCAAAATTTTCCTTGTCTGTCAAAAAATTTCCGAACAAAAATGTAACATAAATGAATGAATCAACAGCTTCATCAACGAGGATGAATGAAAAAAGCCGAAGAGAAAGAGGAAAATTTACTGCTAATTTTAAACGAAAGAAAAAAATCACCAAAATCGCATAAAATTACATTGAAAAATGGACAGATTTTTTTCGTCATTTGATTAATGAATTCAAAACGACTACATAGACATAATTTGGCTAATATTAGAATTTGTGTACAAAAACAACAAAACGGTAATTAGAAGAGCTTATGTGGCTAGTCGGTTTATTTGTTTGGTCAATTTTTGTTCGTTTGTATACAAGGAAAAAAATTCAAAACCAAATAAAACGAGAGAAAAATTATATAAACATCGTAACAGGTAATGATAGAATTTTTATTTTTTTCGGACTGGTTTTCGTAGATTCATAAATTAAAACAACAACAAAAAAACAAAGACAGAAAAAAATCATTTTTTCAATCATCTAAATTTGCCACTGGCAAACGGTAATGAATAAGAACAAAAATGACCTATTCACACACAAAATTTTTCGACCATCTTTTTCGAAATCATCATAATAATTGCTTTTCCTACCGTAAGTATTATGAGAACAAAATTCATTTTAAATCCGAAACAAACAAACAAAAAAAGAAGATCGGATAAACAAATACATTTATCATTGATCGATCGATGTTTGTCAAAACAAAACAAATCTATTTATTGCTAAAATATAACGATTTTTCATTGAAAATAAAATTCACAAATAAAATTGACAAGAAAAAGGAAAATGATGCAAAAAAAATTGATTTGGTAGCATTGTTCGATTCGTAAATCATACATTTAAGACTACCTAATATATATGATTTTTATCACTTATATTTATTCGGACTGGTGTGTACCGTGAAAATAATTATGATGAAAAAAATATTGTGATTGATTGATAATTTTTTTGATAGGGAAAAATATAATATTTGAAAATTCAAAACCCAGCATTGAATTAATTAAAAATTTTTTAAAAAATGATCTAAATATTAGAAAGAAAAAGAAAGATGGATTTATGTAGAATGTTTATGTCAATGAACGGTCATTGATAATCTGTTGAAATGAAGAGAAAGAGAGAGAGAGAGAGGGGGAAGAGAAAAAAACGTTATCCAGTGGTTACTGGTCGATGACATCATTGATGATGATGAAATATTGAATTCACCAGACTTCAAATAATCATCGGTTGAATTTTATTTGATGTGTCAATGTGCCGCTATGTATGTTTGTGTGTGTTTATATTCATTCAATTATACTTAGAGGAGAGATAAAATTGTAAAAATCCAGGTGAATATCAATCAACATCAAACCTTGGCTACATTTTATAAAAATATAACCAGGGCTAAGATATCATCATGATGCATGATCCTAAAAGATAATTGAACTTTAAATCCAGCAAGATAAAAAAAAATCAATTACTGAATATGAAAATGATAAGTTTTAATAACGAAAACCAAAAATATATGTGACCGAATTGAATTAATTTTGTATCCAGATAACCAATCAAATGATGTTCAAATTCAATTGCTTAAATAAACATGACTGATAGAAAATATTTTTGTTTCACAAATCAACATGAGATTACTATGTGTTAAAATTCAATTGTTTAATGTAACACACCTGTAACTAATATTATCAGATTAAATGCAATTGAGTGCAATGATTTTTGATCAACAATTAATTGATTCCTAAATAAAATCAACAGGTTATTATAATATTTCGATATGATCATTTATTTAGTATATTCGGAACTATTTTTGTTAAGATTATACATTTCATTTCATTTTAAGCATTCGATATTTTGATTTTTATCGTCAGTCATTATCATTATCATAATAATGATTATCACAGTCATATTTACCAATTATCACTTCATTAAAAAAAATGAAACGAAATTAAATGTTCATAGAAAGAAAACATTCGCACATTCACAAACATCGAAAAATGAAGGAAGAGATAAGAAAAATTTTTATCACATATTATTTAATGTAATTTACAACAAGCAAACAACAAACAAACAAAATAAAATAAAAAACATTAATGAAATCAACTTAATGCGAAGATATTTGATGATTTAAAATGGCCAAAAAAAGTGGATAAGAAAATAAAATCAAGACCTTGGCTTTTCTATATGGCTGGGAATTCAATTTCAAACGAAACAGATAAAATGAACAAAAATGATTTTAGAATTCATCGACTTTGGCAAATGGCAAACAAACATCATTAGGTTTTTCTATTTCGAACAAATCGAATATTGTAAATCTGAATTCGAATGGAAAAAACAAAAACAAAAACAAAATGAATTTCTATTGTTTTCTAAAAATAACAGTGTTTTGTTTTTTCTCAAACAATCAAACAAAAATTGTTTGGTTTTTTCCCGATCCTTTTTTTCATACTGACATGAAATGCATACATGTTTTGATCGACGACGACAACGAAAAACAAAATCCAAAAATTCAATCTGATTATCAAATAAAATGTATGCATAAACAAAATTTATGAAGAATGATGGCATCCATTGCATCTTTGTGTATTTATAGGCCATCAATGCAATAACGAAAAACAAAAACAAAACAAACAAGCTACAAAAAAAATAAGTAAGATAAAACCAACAAGAATTATTGAAATGATGATCAGAAGAAAAATTCTTAGAAAAACAAAAATGTCAGCTAATGTACACACACACAAAGACATAAATAACAATAAAGAATTTTCATTCTATTCTTTATTCTCTATTTTCTAACTCAAAACACATGTGGAATATAGAGAAACAAAAACAAAATGTTTATCAACAATAATGATGAAATGCACTGCTAATCCAATTCAATTAATCGAACCAATACGAATAATATTGCCAATCTGCCCAAACAAATATAGTTATCTCGACGAATTGGCAAATTTATATTTTGAGCATTCATTCAATGAAAGGTGATTATCAATTTAATTCTTTATTAATATTTCAGTTACCATCATCAACATTATCAGCGTTGTCAAAATTAAAAAGATAAATTTTTCCTATTTGTTTGCTTGTTCTTCTTTCCAGTAACGTTTGGGTTCATTCATTCATTCATACTGTTCATGTTTTAAATAAAAAGTAAATGAATTAATAAATGCGTGAAAAAAGTGTAAAGATAAACTATTCAATGGTGCAATGATGCTTAGGGAGATGATGATTATTATTATGATGATGATTACTAAAGGAATTTTTTTCTTTCCCTCTCTCTCTCTCTCTATTCGTTAGTCCAACTTTTTTTTGCTTATGAATCTTTCTCCCTAGCTTTTATCATCATCCAGAATCGAGAAAGAAGAAACAAACAAACAAACGAAAAAATTGTAGAAATATAATAATAATGGTGGTAGACAATACAATTACAAGTTATTTTCAAAAAATAACAACAACAACTGCTACTATTTTGGATCTATTCCATTGGGGAATGAATTTGGATGTGCTTCATTGCCACCACCATCATCATCATTATATCGTACACTAACTAACTACAAGGACGACAACATCAGCAACAATGATGGTGATGATGATGATATTGACATCAACATTTGTGGATTTGGATCAAGCAACAACGAAAAAAAAACTATCTGTATATAAGGCTCAAATATTGACATGAATTCGATCAATTCTAATAAATACAAACTAAAATAACTGGAAAAAACACATTTTAGATGATGATCTTAAGAATTTGTTGAACAAAAAATAGGACAATTAGAATTTTTGAATCGCTGACATTAAGAATCAACGAATGTCACCTGCACTACTATCATAATGATTTTTATGGAAAGTTTTATTTTTTTTTCACTTATTATTCCGTTGAGTGTATATATTTATGAGGTTTTATTCTTTGTTTCTATTTAAAAAACATGAAGAGAGTAAAAAAAATCCATATGAAAACACAAACAAACACAGATTGGACACCATTAATAAAAACACACAAAAAAACGAAAATTGATAAAATAAAGCAAGTGAACAATATTCAAATAAAAATAATGAGGTCCATCATCAATATACAAGTGGTGCAACTGACAAAAAAGAAAAACAAAAACCAAAAATTCCAGGAATAACAACAACATAATCAACACAGAAAGATTGGCCAAAAGAAAATAATAATAATAATAAAACCATATCAGTAATAGTGTGAATAATAATAATAATAATCATTGCTATTATTATGTATTTTTCATCGGTCACAAATGATGATGATCATCATCATTTTCATCATCCCTAAAAAAATTCCAATTTTATTCTATAATAATAATAATAATAATCATCATCATCATTCACAATGATAATCAAAATAAACATACTGAAAGTATATTATATAACTACTGTATATATTCTATTATATCGATAAATATTAGACAGGTGAACATTTTCAGGTGATGGCTGACTGACTGGCCCATCATAAACCACCGAAAATTTCAACAAAATTACCAATCGTTGAAAAATTGTTATGAGCAGTTTCAACATTGTCAACATTATATAGTAATAAATAAAACCACCTGCGGAAAAAAAATAATTCGCTAACAACAACAACAACAAAAAAACATTATGAGCCTGGAATTAACCACAACAACCAGTGCCATAACAATATTCTTTTTTGGAAAAGTAAACCACAAATAATAATGACCAGAATAATAAATAAATGATGTTTTCTTATGCCCGTTACAGAATCGTATTCATTCATTCATTCAGTCAAAATAAATTCACATATATAGAGAGAGAACATTGAGAATTTATTCAACTAGAAGATTTATAGAACTTTTCGTTCATAAGAATTCTATGTAAAAAAACTAAATGAAATTATAATGAATAAAGTTGGCAGTAAATGACAACGACCGTAAAAAAAAGTGAGAAAATAAATTCAAATTGTTGCCCATAAGGCAAACAAAATTATGGTGTTGGAAAAAAAACAAAATTAACGGTACATTAAGTTTGATGTGTGTGTTTGTGTCGGTGTGGTTGCCATCAGGACAAAGAAAAACCACGTCGAAAAAAATACAAGATTTGAATTTAAAAATTAAATTCTACTTACAAATCTTGATCATAAGATCCATCATGATTGACGACAACATCACTCGAATTAGTGGATGTATTATTCGAGGTGTTGTTACAATTATTATTCGTCGTCGTCATATTATTATTATTGTTATTGGTCGATTGTTGTTGTTGTGTTGAATTATTGTTTATCATTGGTTGTTGGCCTTGTGGCGATTGAGATTGTTGTTGTTGTTGTTGTAGTTGTCCATTTGATGATGATGCGGATGATGGTGATGATGATGATTGAGATGATGTCGATGATGGTGATATACCATTAGTTTGAGGCTGTTGCTGTTGTTGAGCCTGTTGTATTTGTTGCTGTGAATCAGTTTCCATTTTCATTGTTTATTTTTTTTAGCTAGAGAATAAATATTTATTTGAAAATAATAATCAGATAGACGGAAAAAACTTTTTCTTTTTTTGAAAACTTAATCAATAATTTTGGCGATAATTTCTTTATTTATTAATAAATTATTTATCAGATTTTTTTTCCAATTTGATAATTATTATTGCACCAGAAACGAAAAAAAAATTCGATAATTATGATGAATGAATTGTGATGATAAATGATAACGATTATAAAAATGATGATATCGTTGTTGTTGTTTACAAATAATGATGGAAAATATTAACACAAATAACAAAAACGGAGATACTTTTGGAAAAAATAGCTGACCAATATTGATAACAAAATGATGAACAAAAAAAAAGGAGAAGAAAATTTTCAAGAATTATTGCTAAGCGAGAAGGCGTACACACAACGCACACAAACAGATCAACACAATGTTTTTAATCAGGAAAAAACAAATGACAAATTAATATAGGAAAATAGATGAAAAAAAGGTGTGTTGTGTGTGTGGGATAGGTGTAAGAAGTATTTTGAGGATGATGAAGTGTTTTTTTTGTTGAAAAATTTATTCTGTCATTATAATGTTGAAAAAAAATTTCATTCGTTAAAAAATACAAACAAACAATATCGATTTCAAAATAAATTGTTGAGATCACTTTTTCATATTCAGGAAAAAAATTAGTTGATAGAATTTTGGTTTAAAGTTTATTTTTTTTCATTAAATAATAATATTAGAAACAGAGAATTGTTTTTTTTTTCATTCACCAGAATTTGAAATTTGAAATTCACAATTTAAAAAGATTAAAATATCAACAACAATTATGAATGAAATAAAATGAACACACAAGCACAATGTAGGTAGGATATTGAATCGGTAAAGGTTTTGGATTTCAACTTTTTTTTTGTTCGAAAGGTAAAACTTTTTATATTATCTTCATTGGTTTGTTTCAAAACGATTTTCTTCTTTTTCTTTTTTTTCTCACTCCGTTAAGATGATTACCAAAAAAAATGTGATGATGATATTCGAAAGGAAGAGAGAAATTTACACAACAAAACTAGCTTTATTCAAATACACACACAAAGTTCAATGTTGGGCTTGATGTTTTTTATTTTCATTGATTATTCTGTTCATACATTACGATGTTGTTTGAATGAAGATGATTAAATATTTTTTATTTTCGAATTAATCTACCCGAATAATATTGAGAAAAAAGGATGGGGAAACAAATAAGAGAAAGTGAGAAAAAATAGAATAAATTTTCAATGAAAAAGTTTCAACAGCAACAACAACAACAACAACTTATTCTGGTTACACAAAAACACTTGTTTCTTATATTTTGGTTTACTAAATATTTCACCCTTTTTTTTGTTCTATTTGATAAATTTTAAAATATAAAACATTTACTGCGAAAAATGGGGGAGAAAATTGAATTGAAAATTGTTGTTGTGCTTAGAGAACAAGTGTTGTTGTTGTTGTTATTGTCGCTGTGGATTGATATTTGGTCTGTTGTTGTGGATGATGGAGATGACGATGATGCAATCGAAATGGCAACCCGTTTTTTTTTGCAGAAAATGAAATAATAATAAAAAAATTCTTATGACGAAATGGAATGAATTAAATTAATGTCATTTTTTTCTTGGTGTTTTTGATGGTGGTAAAAATGAAAAATAAATAACAACCAACGATAAAAAAGAATTTACAATCAAATCATCATTGTTGTCGTCGTCGTCATCATCGTTGTTGTTGTTGTTTTTATTAAATTTTCAAGAGAAAAAGTCAAAAACTTTTTTTTCATTTAGAGAAAAAAAATGGAAAATAAATTTTGATGATAATGTTGAATGAAATTGAAACGAGCCGTAGAATCGAGAGATGAAAGATGTGGGAAGAGAAAAAAAATGTTGAAAATCACAATCACAATAATAATAAATAATAAACATACAAACACACGACGCAAACACAACAAAAGCAGACTGGCAAATAATAAAGAAAAAAATTTATTTTTTTTCAAGAATCGAAAATGAGCTAGTCCAGAATTTTGAACGTTTCACTTTTTTCGGGTTTACCAACACCAACACCAACAACAACAACGATTCAACACACACGGCTTTTTGGATGTGGTTTTCAGTTATCGTTTGGTTTTTTTTCCTACTTTATTTCTCTTTACAGTTATTTTCATTGTTGTTCATTCGGTTTCGACACAGAATTTGCGACGAATCATTGATGATGATCCAGGATAACGGATATTGTTTTGTCTCTTATATGTGAACCGCCTGCTATTTTTATTGTTTTTAATGTTGATGTTGTTGTTGTTGTTGTTGTTAATGTTGTTATTTTTGAACTATTTTTTTGATATGCGCGTATCATTACAGGTTGGATTGTAGTGAATATAAGTAGTGGTATTTTTTACAAACCCGATTTTTTCAAAATGATGGCCGGTTTTATGGATCAAGATTCTATAAGTGGTAGTAGTAGCATTGAAAAAAAAACATAAATCTATAGTTATGTATTCTGGATCATAGAATCATAGAATTTTTCTTTATTTTTTTCCAATGCTAGAACCTCGTTCATACACACACATATATCCTATCTATTTCGTAATTCCACTTAGACAATATAGCAAAAGGAAAAAAATTCCATGATCCAGGAACCGCCGCGACCAACCAACCATCATTATCATATACCACCACCATATATGTAGGATAGTTTATACATACCCGAATTGACAAGTAAAATAGAAACAAAAAAAAAGTTGAATGAAAATGAAAGCGAAAAAAAAATAATCAACGAAAAAGTAAGGAAAAAAACAGTTTTACATATACAGAGTACCGTCACTGACGGGATCCAAAAACTAAATGATTCGTTTTTCTTTACAACAACAATCAACCCCAACAGCATAAACAACATATTATCTTTATTCATTTTTATTTTTGGCCATTTTTCCAATGTTGAAGGTTGGCTGTCGGCTACCACGATCTTTATTCGCGCAATGATGATGATGACGAAAAAAAACTAAATAATAAGAAAAAAAATTGTTATTCTGTGCGCTTCTATCATCATAATCATCACCAAATAGTCATCATTATTAAAAGCCATCATCATCATCATAGTTTCATTTCAATTGAATTTAATTCTGAATTGATAATAATGAAAATGTTGATGGTAATAGTGATGGTTGTGGTAGAAAAAGGGGCATACAAAATACCAGCAACAAGCACCAGAAGAATATATGAAAAAAAACCACTAGGCTTTTTTTCTTCAAAACAGTATAACACTCCCCACATTCTCCTACTCCTCCTTCTCATCCCTTTGCATGATCATGATTTTTTTTTTGCTAGCATCGACATCATGTTATTTGCAATAGCAGAAAAAAACTGTAATTTTTTTTATTTATTTATCCACAATACCGTTACTATTGCCATTGATTTTGGATAAATTCATTCATTCATACAAACGGATTCATTCGTTGAATTCATATATCCTAAGCTTTTTTCTTTTTCTTTTTCTTCAATATCTTCAACCACTATTCATCATAAATGTATTTTTTTTCAAAATAAATTTTGGAGGTACAGATGTAAGCCTAAACTTACAGCCAGAAAGTAAATGAAAAATTAATATCAAAAATTCGTTCAAAAATCAGTCATCTGTGTATATATTACATTGGTACTCACATTTATTTGGGCAAAATAAATTCTTAAAATAGCAGAATAATATTTTCGATTATTGAAAAAAAAAGGAAATGAACGAAGAGAATTGGAATAGAATTAAATATACGTATGTCAAATATGAACCACAACAATAGTATTATTGACAAAAATGTCGACCACGTGTTTCGGGCTCGGGGACAAAACAAAAAATCAAGCGCAATCTCATCATCCAAATCTGTAACTGGTGATGATGATGATTTTATTTTCGCTTCCACATGGTGTTAATCGTAATTCCTCTATAGCAAAAAAATCGCTTATCTCCCGCAATAAACATCACCAATGTTAGTCTTTTTTTTCTTTACCCATTTTCATAGTCATTTACAATCATCACCAAAGGAAAAAAATAAAACAGTTTACAAGCAATGTGAATGTGTAAGAGATAGATAATGAAATAGAGAGAGAGAGCCAGAAAAAAACGAAAGATATAAAGCAGGAAAAAGAGAAAAGATAAGAATGTTGAATAAAATGATGAAAAGGAATGAATAAAGAGACGACGACAGATATCTTAGAAAAAAATAAATTGTAAATTTGGGATTTCTCATAAATTTTTTCTGAAAATCACATTTTTATTGATAATGTTATTTCACTGTTTTTTCCTGTTTGTCATCCATTTGTATCATGTCTATTTGTTTATTTGAAAATTAGACTTTAGTTTGGATTTTGTTTTTTTTCTTCATTAAACTCTTAGTACATTGTTCCATAATTGCGAATTCTTTTCGCAATGTACAATAATGTCCTATAGCATCGTCATAGAATAAAAGTAATCAAATGAACAAAGCAAATTGCAATGCTGGAAAAATATATTTCTTGAAAGAATGACTAGACAAACTTTCAGGTGTATGTGATCATGAATATCAATGCGATGATGATGATGAATTCATTATGATTGAACAGAAGGAATCAAAACAGCATTTTTTTCTGTTATGCTGGTCAAGTTGATCTAGCTTGACATAAACAGTTCACATTTATATACACCAAAGTGCTTGACGAATCGATCAAATGTTCAAATAGTGTGTCGAATAAATATACAATATCGAATAGAAACAAAATGCTGCGAAACCGAACGATTGTTTATAATCATTATCTGCCAAAATGAAATGAAATTATCAACGAAAAAAAAAACCGAAACAAAAAATCAGATTGAACCGAAAAATGTTATATTTTTGTTTCTTGCTTAATCATCATCATCATAATTGATCGATCATTTTTTTTCGAACGCTATGTGCTGATCATGTTTCATCATGATTTGTTCTCTTATTTCGGCATAAATTTTTTCAGCCTTTTCGAGGTCAATGCTTCGAAATGGCCACCGGCTTCATTGTGGTGATATCCATATTGTCACTGAAAAAATGTGTATGTGTGTGAATGCAATGAAATGTAAAGATTTTTTTTTG